TATCCATTAGAGATTTTGATGATAGCTGTACAGTAGACCCGCACGCATCCAGCTACACAGTCACCAAACAAAAGCAAGACAGTGCGAATGCAACTGTGACGATGATACTGGTGTTGACAGAATCATGAGTCATATTTCCCTATCTGTCCGCTCCTCTGCAAGTATTCTGTGTAGAACCTTTGGGCTCACAGGGTAGAGGATCACTATGCCGCTGCTCCCTAGAACTGGTGGCCTGCATGGCAAACCGTTGGAGGACATTACTTTCATCGAGTTCCAGAAATGTATGTGTGAAGAGTGGTTCCAATCAGACACTCATTTCCGTCACTACATGATCCAACGGCGAGTTTTAGACGAAGATGGACAGAATGTTAGCTTGACTCTCAGATCCATTGCGGTGTTCCTTCGCACTGGCATTATATTGGGAATGCACAAGTGCGTCGAATGCAGCGGGCCAACACGGCTGGAATGTTCCAGCTCTGACAGCGGTGTCAGATATCGCTGGACATGTAGAACAAGTGGGCACAAGCACATGAACCAGTCCGTCAATTCGTGTGGTGTTCTCAGCAAGGTCAACATCAACAACTGGATGCCCTTCTTGCACATCGTGAACATGCTGCGCCTGGGGTTGCCATGGGTTCGCATCACCGAGGAAATGCGGGCTGGGTATGGCAATGTGAAGGACGACACTATGTTGGGATGGCGTCGATTATATCAAGGAAACCTGGGGAAGGCCCTCGTGAACATGGATCAGATGAAGATTGGAGGCGCCAACCACACAGTCGTCATCGATGAGTGTTTGGTTGGGACCCATCCGGAGGATGGATGGTCCTTGAGCAACCGCGGCATCAACAAAAACGTCGCTCATGAACAAGAACGGACTGATGGACGACATGAAGCTACTTCTATGAAGGTTGCCAAGGGTAGCATGAAGGTATTCCCGGCTCGCACTATCAAGAAAGGTGAACGCAAAGCGTTGGGGTCATTCGCTTTGATTAAACGCCCTGCAGCATCCATGAAGCGTCCGTCGGCATCTACTTCCATGAAGCGTCCAGCATCCTCTACTTCCATGAAGCGTCCAGCATCCTCTACTTCCATGAAACGTCCTTCCGCATCGGGCTGCCTCAAACGGCCTTCCGCTCATCGTCGTCCTCTTCGTGTTCTGAAAAAACCGGCTGCTAATCTGAAGCTAAACGGCAAGTGGTTGTGGCTTGCCGTGTGTGTAGGTCGCGGAAATCAAGTCTTTACGCATGAGAACGGTCTAAAGAAGATCACATACAGACTTTTACCGCGTGCTTCCAAAGCTGTGAATAACAAGCCCCGCGGTTTGTATGAAATTCGTGACACGCTTCACAGCCGGATATACAAAAAGAGTATACTGGTCTTTGATGGCTGGACAGCTACTACACAAGCGGCTGATCAGCTAGGGTATGCCCATCCGCCATCTGTGAAGCACCATAAGTGCTTCAGGGATTCGGATACTGGCTTTCATACGAATGACGCTGAGTCAGAGAACAATCGCTTGAAGCGATGGTCTCGTCAGCGGCACGGTCGTCTGCATATCGAAGAGTCTGATATGCAAGAGTACATGTTCTATGTCAATGTAGGAGGCTCCATGATGTCGGTGCTAGAAGGTTTAGCACAGTCGAGTGAAAGTGGCAAATGCAGAAATCGCATTGTCACGCTTTGAAGCACTAAGGCAATCTCTGCAGTGAGAATGGGGTAGAAAAGACACACGGCTAGAGTGCTCCAAGTCCAGCTCCGACAGCGGTGTCAGATATTGATGGACTTGTCGAACACGTGGACCTAAGCATATGAACCATCCCGTCAACTCGTGTGGATTTCTCAGCACATATGCAACGGAACACGTTGAACACTTTCCTGATATCCAAGGTGCCTATATTGTCGACATTGCCATCGAGCTGCTCCAGCATAATACTATATTCGATAATGTATACCTGATTATGAATCAGTTGACTGGTTATAACCTAGTCGGCTGGTTATAACCTAATCGGCTGGTTATAACCTAGTCTGCTTGTTATATCTCAGTCAGATGATGTAGCGAAAAACGTAGGGGACCCCAAATAGGGGTGCGCCCATGCATATATATATATATATATATATATATATATTTATGTGTATATATATATATATATATGTGTTTGGTGTGAATGCGTGTGTATATATATATATAGATATAGATATGCATGTACGTATATATGGATATAAATATCTATCTATATATGTATATATGTGCGTATGTATGTTTGTTTGTTTGTACGTACGTACGTACGCATGTATGTATGTATGTATATATGTCGAACCTTTATGTTCCATTCGACGGAAGCCGTTTGCATTGTTCTTTAACAAGGGGAATTGTTGAAGTCTAAGTATCTAAGACATTTAACTTTTTTCATAAGGAACATTTAAAACCAGGGCCTGGATTTTGACGCGGAGATTCCGACAACGACTTCATCTTTACAAAGCTTGAAAAGCATCTTTAAAAGCTTCAAAAAGTTACAAACGCGGCTTCAACAACGACGAAAGCTTTACACGCTTTTGAAGCATTTAGTTAATGATATAATGCGGAAAATATCAAACAATCTGAAATCCAGATCCCGGATGACACGGAGATTTCGACAAAGATTTGAGCTACCACGCAAACTTTCTGGAGTTTTCTAAGGCAGTCAGGGTTTGTGGGTTGCTTAGGGTTAGGTTTATACTTGCGGCGAAGGAGTTTAGGGAGCAAAGTCTGGAGGCTGCACTGAAGGAAGGCGACAAACAGATCTGCTCCGTGTTTGCACCAGGAATCTTCAAAAAGGACCGAGAGCAAGTGCGTTTGGCATATGTATCGGATGAGCAATCAGAAAGGGAAAGCAGCCCGGTTTCGTTAGTTCCTAAAGCCGTATAAACGTCGTGGTGGGGCAATCCAAAATCGCAGGTTTGGGGATCTTCCCCCTTCAAAGCCCTCTATCTAAGGAATAGCTCTAACTTTAGGGGGAGTCCTATAGAACACGACTTAAACGGTACCTTTCCGAAATAAAGGGGTTTGGGCTTCTTTTGCGAGTTGGGTTTGGGGCTTCTGGGGTTAAGGCTTGTAGGGCTCAGTCAATATTTTAAACGCTCACCTGCGTTGAGGTTAGCCCGTGGGGTTGTAGAAGTCATGGGAAGGTGTCGGTGTTGCTGGTAGTGTTGCCTGGCAGACACTAGCCCCCCAACCTGAAACAGGGCTTACGCGTCCTGGGTGAATCCTGCAAGTGGAGACTCCAAACACCATCAAGCAAGGAACATGCTACGGTGCTACAGACTATGTGAAGAACCCTCTGCAACTTGAAGTATTGATCTTAATTCAAGCGTCTCGGAGTCTCTGCAAGGTCCATGTACCTGTTCAAAACCGGGTACTTTGCACCGGTACCAAGGCCTTTTGATAACGAACTGTTGAACATCACGGAAACTTCAGTAAGCAGGGGCGTTAATCGCTAATCTACAGTCTAACAGTTGAAATTCTGAAATCTGAAAACCCTATCCCCCGGCCCTCCCAGCATTTCGCTTCCGCCGCGTGCGTATTGGCTCCTATGACAGTCAGGAATTCGATTTTTTCGGGTACTTTCTGCGGGTGTCCTTGGGAACCTGTTCCGCAAGGCGTGCGAACGCCATTGCACGCCATCTGGCCGCAGGGGCTTTCGATTTGCGTTGTGTTCGGGGTTGGCCCTTGCTAATACGGGTTGTGGATTTACATAGGCCTTAGGATTTCAGGTTCAGAGGGATAAGGTTTAGGATCTTTGCAGTGCCAAGAATTCAGGTTCAGGGGATTGGGTTTCAGTCGAGTGGAGTCTCTCTTCTCACTCCCTTGCATCACTAACAAACAATGTCTCGTTTTGGACCTACAACCTGAAGCACTTAAGGCTATAGAGATCATAGCCCAAGGGGCCTCAGCCAGTGTCACAGTTTTTCGCTGCTCGCTACGAAGGCTCGACAACGCAAGTCGCAACAAGGAAGCTGCAGGACCCCAAATCAGGGCTGAACGATTCAAAGCGCAGGGACATACTAGGATGCCCAGTAGTACCCTTATTCCCTTTTTGTAGTCCTAGGTTCCTTATAAAGTTACCCAATACCAAAAAGAGAGGCCTTTTTGTTCTTAGGTTACTGGGTATCCTAGTAAAATCCTAAACCCTAAACCCTAAACCGTTTTAAAAGGAATACTTAACTTCAAGGACCTCCCTGTTGATATGCCAGTCGAAGTCGAGAGAGAAGCTCAGAATAGCAGGGTGTAGGCAGGGCAGCTTCCGGGTTTTGCTTATAAGGGTACTTAGAAAAATATGTATAATTTTTGGTTATTTTAAATTATAAGCCCTAAGAAACAGCTAAAATTATAATTTTTGCTAGGGTTCTAAGTTCGGTATAGTTTAGAGTCCAGGGGTATTGTGGCAAATCCTTTTAGGTCAGAGAATTGGGGCACATCCGACAAGCTTTACCCAGCTTTCCCGGCTTCATTTGTTGCTTGGCTTTTGGGGTCGCACATTTAAGCAACTCGAGTTCTTCATGCGACATCTAATGCTGAGGCTGGAATAGTTGCGAAGAGTGTCCCTTTGCGGTGGCCCTACATTTGGGTGGTTGTCAAAATTGGGGTCCTTTTTGGGGTCCTTATTAGAATACGGCACCTAATATTTAGGGTACCCAAAAAGGCACCCTAATTTTGACAACCACCCACTTAGATACGCGGAGTTAGAGTTCACGGGGCTCTGTTTTTTTTAGTTTTTCCTGGGGTCTCAGGTCTTACTGTTCCTGGCTCGGGATCGTAGGTTCACAAACCTTGGCGTTCTTCTGTTTGGCTCTTTAGACTTTAACTTTTGGGGTTTCTATATGAACTAGAATAAGCAGGCTAAAAGTTTAACTTTTAGGAGGGGTTCGGAAGTCAGCCAAGAAACGGAAATCTAGAATAGGGCACAGCAACTTTCAGCCGCGAAGGTCAGAAGCCTTTTGCGCCTGGGGGAGATCTACCTATGGACTGTTTGCCGCGATTCCTGTGTTTTCGGGCCTGCTGTTTGGGGTTTATTAGGAGTCGGGGCCCTTGTTCTAGGCTGGCTCCCACTGTCCTAGAAGAATGAGGTGGATGATGTTACTATTAGGATTCCTACTCTAATCGTTTTTAAAGGCAGGGGCTGTATCAGCCAGGGGTCAACCATTGGATTCAAGCTGCACGCAGTGACGATTCCTTGAGTCAGATAGGCATAAGAAGGGGTATTGCACTGCGCGGCAGCTTCAGTCGGTCGAGGTTGTCCATGCTGCGTGCTAGACTCTGAAACCCGAACCCGCCGAACTAGCAGCTGTGTTAGCATTGGTCATTGGTCGAGAGGGGGTGCCGGGGGCACACAGAAAGCGAAACCTTCAAAGACGATGTTGAAGGAGCCCTGCTGTATGTCCCCTGATCCTGTACGTAGCCCTCATAGAGAGCCCTATGAAGCAAAAGGAACTTTCAAAGAACCCCAGCGATCTGTCTGTTTTTGTTTGCCAAAACCACCACCTGTGAACATCATGAACCCCTGGTCCCGAAAAAAGCAATGGCCCATCTTTTAGGTTCTTAGCCTAGGGATCTAAGGACTCATATATTAAGGCTTTTGGGCCCAAAGACCATATTATATAAGGCTTGTGGGCTATTTTGATCCCTAGGGATAGCTGGATAGAGTTGTTTTCAAGAGTTGAGACATAGCGACGGTCATGGTTTGCCTTTGGTGTGCTAGTTCCCAGCCCTCGGCCCCAATCCAAACTCTCAGCTCTTGATAATTAACCCCCTCCAAAGTTGAAAATGCGATGGCTGCCGCTAAACCTGTTGTCCTCCTTACTGGTTCCCGAAACCCTAAACCCTAAACCCTAAACCTCCCTACAGCGCCCTTCTGAGAAGCCTAAGTTTCAGACTCCCCCACACGAGGATCGCAGTGTTTTGGTGACACGACTTCATGACAGAGGGTTTCAGGCACCGTGTCTCCTTTGGTCTTTCGAGTTTGCGTATAAGCTACGGTTTGGGGTTTGTTTTTCACCCCATTCCCCAAACTAATCCTTAAACACTCCACCCTCGAACCCAAAACCGTTCCTCCGCTGTTTCAGGCCCGCTTCAGCAATCTCTGCTCGGAAAGGAACCCTCAGTTCAGTTAGTCTGCCCAGACCTTCCAAAATCCCTTAATTAAATTAAGGAATATACCTTAAATTGTAATGGGATCCCTAATATGATTTAAGGCATATTCCTTAATTAAGGGATTTTGGAAGGTCTGGGTGGCTAGATGAGGGCTTCAGGATCACGGTAGTTCTTCTAGTATAAGAGCGCTTACAGCAGCGCTGCGTTTGTGATTATGTACTGTATCCAATCTGTTCTTCACACTTTTCACAGAGTTCGAGCCACTCGGATTCCGGATGCATAGCAAATGCATGCCCAAAGGCCCCAAAGTAGTTCCTTTTGGGGGGTTCATAAAGGAAGAACTTTGGGGCCTCTGGGTCATATGTCGTTGTTTCTCATGTCGAGGCTCCCTCCAGCCCCTGGCTCGGCAGTAGCCCGACCGGATGCCTGGACCCACGCATGCATAATTACACGCACCCTTAGCTGACATACCTATACACATACTCCCACTGACGGTGAAGTTGATCACGATGATGATGGTGATGATGATGACGATGATGGCAACGATGATGACAACGAAGACGATGCTGAAGATGAGGATGAGGATAAGGACGATGACATGAAGTTGTCGCGACGATGACGAACCGACCTCAGTCAAACTGAAGCACTTGCGCAAGTTTTCCGGTGTCAGACCTCTGTCTGCGATTGAAGGTGACTGCTGGGATGTTCTGTGCCAGCAACCGACCAATCAATTGGGTGAAGTTTGATGAAGAACATGTGTGTTAGGATCCGTAAGATGGTGACTTATGCCTGCAAAGTGCCAACAAAGTCAGGTGGGTATAGGGGCGAGAGGCTGCTCGAACCATCTTTCTTAGCGGGTTCCCTCCGAAGCTCCCCTCAGGATAGCCTTAGAGTCAGCTAGAGTTGAAGGTTGTTTTCAAAGCGAACGAGTAGAGGAATCGGGGGCGCGGTGTCTGCGACCTAAATGGGTAAGATGCTGAAACAATGCCTGCGAAGCGAATCTAGCTCTCTGTGGGGCTTAAATGCTGCTTGGTCCCTGACCGACAGACGCGAGAGCCCCAAAGCGAGTCACTAAACTTAAATAATGCTGAACTGAAGCTTCGCAACCCTATATAGCCACCCTGGAACCCTCACCCGACGCCCGAAACCGCTGACCCTACAACTTAATTAACCGGAATCCTAAACCCCTAAACCCGAAACCGAAGCCACCCTCGCCCCGAATACACCAGACGACAACACACCCCCTTTAAAGGGAACCCTATTCTACTGATTCTTAAGGCCCTTGGTTAGTGGGCTCAACAATTAAACCCTAAACCCTAAACCCTAAACCCTAAACCCTAAGCAATGCTTTCTTTTCTCAGACGGTCGAGCCCCTGAAGTGCGCCGGCCACGCGTGTATCTTCCGCGTCCGCTGGGGCCTCAGGGGGCCGAATCCGATTTCCCATGGGTTTTGCCGATTGACGGGGGCCCTAATGTAGCACCCTAAATAGTAGGATCCTTATTATAAGGACCCCCAAATAAGGTGCCCCTAATTTTCGGAAACTCCCATTTCCCATGGGTTTTGCTATTAATGGGGCCTAAATAATGACCAATGCAATGTTGGGGGTTCCATATTGTAACCATAGTTTAATGGGAACCCAAGACCCTATTCTGATTATTAAGGCCCCTACATTATAGTACCCTTATAGTAACCCTTGTATTATAGAGCCCTTTATAAGGGGACCCCAAACCCTTAAACGCCAAATCCTAAACCTTCATCCGATTTCCATGGGGTTTCGCTGCTTGTCGGAGTTTGGAGCTCCGAAGTGTCGCGAAACCGTGGGGCTCCTACGGTGGATGATATAAATCCTGCACTACCTTAAGGACCCTAAACTATGGGAAGTATGGTATATTCCTTCTTATGGGTCATGCAGGATTTAGATCATCAACAGTATTACAGGCTTTGAGTTCAGGGCTTCGGGATTTAAGGTGCAGGGGCCGGTAGCCTAGTAGTAGAGCAGGTAACCTTTAACCTTTTTTGGGTAGTATAGTCCCCATATAATCGCTATATAACCAAAAAGTGTATATAACCTTTAGTTCCCCATGATACCCTACAAGTAGGGTAGGGGTTTGGGGTTTTTGGAGAGGTTGTGGTTTGGGGGTTCAGGGATCGGAGGTTCAGGTACAGAGGTTTTTTTTTTTTTTGGGGGGGGGGGGGGGTTTTACGTTTTTGGGTATTGGGGCTCGGGCCTCGGGGGCTTTAGGGCTTAGGGCTTTAGGATGTAGGATCTTGTAGGGATGTGAGGGTAAAGGTTGTTGGTGACATGTAGGGTTTGGGTTTGGGGCTTCGGGTTTAGGGTGGGTTGAGGGTTTAGGGGTAAAAGGGGGGACGATTACAATTCGTAGGCTCCCTCTGCTCAGCGTTGAAATTTTCAGGTTGCGGGAGTTACAGGGTTGACTGAGGGCTGGGTTTAGGGTTCTGGATCCGCGCACGGCTTTTGAGTGCTGGGGTTCGGGTCGCAAGCTAAAGCAGCGAAGTCCTGAAGAGCCCATAGGTACAACAACGCTTCAAGAGCCCTCATCCTCCTGCCTTCCTCTTCGAGCAGTCAATAACAAGTAAGGGCGCTCTAATGGAGCCCTTATGGTCCTTAATGGTTCGTATCTAGGGTATATTAGACGGTAGTTGGGGGTTCTAAGAACATTGAAACCCTTGGAATCTGCAGCCCGAAAGTCTGTGTCCGCATGCCCACGTTCTTTGAGCCACCTTCCTCTGCAGGTGTTTATGCTTGAAAGGAGCCCCAAAACCCCCATCCCTACACCCTAAACCCCGAACTCCTAGGATCCCTTAGAGAGCCCTCAAACTAGGATGCCCAGTAGTACCCTTATTCCCTTTTTGTGGTCCTTAGGTTCCTTATAAGGTTACCAAGTACCAAAACGGGGGCCCTTTTTATTCCTAGGTTACTGGGCATCCTAGTAAAAGGAATACTTACAGTAGAAGCCAGAAAGTTGGAATATCATTATCGTAACCCGTTTAAGGTAAATTATAGGGGATCCTACCATTAATCCATATTCCAACTTTCTGGAGTTCCCTTTAACTTCAAGGACCTCCCTGTTTTTTTTGTGCCGGCAAGTTTTTTCCAGGTGAGACAGAGGAGGCAGAGACCGAAGCTTTCGTTGCAAAGGCGGCGCTAGCTTTCAATTCCTTCTGGGGCATAGCCTTAATTCAGTGTTTAGTATAGTATAGTATAGTATAATATATTATCGTCTAGTTTGATTTGGTTATGTTTTTTCAGGTTTTTTCGGGATTAGTGAATGTTTTCAACAGGTTCAGGTGTGAGTGACCGGGTGACTAACGAAGGGGTCTGACTATTTTAGTACATTTATTGCGCTTCTGTAGGGCTCCCCCAATGTGACTATACCAATGCCACCACCTATTCTGATGTAGTAAGGTCCTATGTTTCAGGGTTTCAGAAGTGCCGCACAAGCTACACCCCCTTAACCCTAAACCCTAAACCCTAAACCCTAAACCCTAAACCCTAAACCCTAAACCCTAAACCCTAAACCCTACATAAAGCCGTCGAAACCCTGAGCCCTCAGAAGCCCCTCGTTACAGAAACCCTGATTCAATCCTAAACCCTAACCCGAAGGGTCCAGGTAGTCCTTATTTATGGTTTTTGGTACCTAATAAGGCCCTAAAGTCCTATAATAGGGAGTACTTGGACCCTCTGGGTAAACCGTGAGCCTGAAGCCTTCGCGCACAGGTCGTGTGCCTCAGTGGTTTGGATGCGCAGGGGCAGGCTGGAGCCCAACAGGAGGCTGGACCAGCGAATGCGGGGTTCTTGTTAAGGGATCTAGATCTGGATTACCACCAGATGCAGTACTGTAGGTTCCTTTACGGCAACTGATTTTACATACAACCCCCAAAAAACCAAAAATTGAGCTTGAAGCAGTATGCAGGTGAGCCTGCTGAAAGGCCTCTCAGCCGGGCGGCCCAGGACAAGAGGTTGATGATATATATCCTGCATTACCCATAATCAGGAATATACCATAATTCCATAGCTCAGGGTCATTACGGTACCCAGAGGCCCCAACGTAGTTCCTTTTTGGGATTACCTTATAGGAATCTATATATGAGCCCCAAAAAGGAACTACTTTGGGGCCTTTGGGTAATGCAGGATTTATATCATCAACTGTAGGGGGTTTGGGGGTAAGGGCTTCGGTCCTCGAGTCTTGTGTTTAGGGTTTGGATCTTAGGACTTTGGGTTTAGGGGTTTGGTGGGGTAAGGGTTGGGGTTTAAGCGTTTAGGGTTAAGGGATGAGGGCTTTGAGTTGCGGCTTAGGGTTGGGTACTGTAAGGGTTAGGGTTAAGAGTTTGGGGTTGCGGGTTTGGGGATTCGGTTGAGGGGTTGGGGTGGAGGCTTCAGGTTTTGGCGTTTGTGTTCCTTAGCTCTCCAATGCCTGACAAGCAAAGTTGGTTGGGTTTTGACCGTAGTCGAACCCTCACCTATTCTTGCAGTAGCCAGAAGGAGATTGAAGGTAATTCCCCGATCGCTTCTCCCAAACCCTGATCTAGGTGTGACTAGGGTTTCCCGGTCGCATCGAGGTTCAAGGCACATGGGGCAATTCGCTAAGTAGGTCCGGTCTTTTTCCGGGCTCCTCCAAGATTTACCCGTCATTTGTGGATCACAGAGAGGATCCTCATTCAGACAGCTTCCCACTGCCAGTGAACCCTCGCCAAACATACCCCATCAAGGGGCTGGAAGGGATGGACTCTCTGAAGAACTTGGAAGTAGATTAGGTCACCTTTAGCTTTTTTGTGGTATTTTTTTGACCCCCTGTCTAATCCCAAGGGCTAGACTTTAGTTCCCTTAGGATACTGGACAAGTAAGAAAGACCCTGTTGGGATCATAACCGAAAACCTACTGAAGATGGGTGACATTACGTTGGACATATTCTTGACAAAGATTGTCCTAAACCCGAAACCATAGACTCTAACTCCTTCAATTCGATCATATGGGTGGTTGTCACTGTAGGGTACCCAAAAAGGGACCCTAATTTTGACAACTACCCATATGGACCAAGGCGCATCCGAACTTGATCGCCTACAAACAGAGCTTCTTGGAAGACGGCCGCTGGGCGGATGAGTGTCTACAGTGTGCAGTTTGGGTCAAAGGGTTTCGGGCTTAGGTTTCAAGTGTCATAGGCGTTGACCCACAAAATGCCTCTGGCCAGGGTTTCAGAATTTTGGGTTGAGGGCTTTGGGTTTTTGTTTCGGGAGAAATACTGCTGTCTCCAAGTACACCGCGTGCGGACCACCTGCTTTGGCCCCATAGTATTTCAGGGCTGCCGATCCTCACCACAGCCCAAGGCACCGGTATCCTAAAGCCCCGAAGTGAGGGGAGAGCCGGCTTGGGCAGACTATCGTACTAGTAGATTCCCTCTAAGATGAATTGGGGCTCATTTTGGGGAAAGCTGTGCCAGAGCTGCGGTGTCGCGCGCAGCAAACCTTAAAGCCACGGTTACAGTTTCTTTCAGATCAAACAGAGGACCCCCTTTAACCTATCTGCTTCGCAGGGAATGAACAGGGCTTTATAGTCAAATCGGCACAGCTAGCCCTAGTTCCTAAATTTCACATCCTAGGGTTTAGGGTTTAAGATTTAGGAATTCCTCATTATGAGCCCAATTAGAGGCGGCCTGCTCTTCATTGTCATGTCGCTGGCAGAGGACTCTTTCTAGCACTCTAGGGTTGAGGGTTTAGGGTACTCTTCGGAGATTCTTGTCATTTATATTTATGATACATCCCTCTGGTGAACATCATGATTTGTGCTGTGGGTCTGTGGGGGGCTACAGAATTTCGAGGTCTGCCTTAAAGGAAAAGAAAAGAGCAATAGTTCCCCGGTCTAGTCACTATGTAAGTATCTGTAAGTAACATACCATCACTTAAGCTCAGAGTCCTGGACTAGTCTTAGCCTCAAAATGGCCCAAACAGGTGAAATCCTGAAGGCCTGTGTCTCCCCCAAAGTGGAACGTTTCGGAAGCCAAGGGAGCTACAACGCCTAAAGTCCTGGACGGTACAGTGCAGACTCATCAAAGGTTCACAAAAGAAACCTTGTAAACCCGCTAGGCGATGACACCCTGAAGCCCTAAATCTCAACCCCAAGAATCCCGTAACCCCCAGCCCTAAACCTCCAGATCTTCACCCCTTAGCCCTAAACCCCAAAGCCCTCAGACCCCAAATACCCACAAATAAGGGCCATAAGGACTCTGTTAAACGGCCTTGGGTCCTGGTAAAGCCTTGAAGCCTTTGGAAGCTTCTGGGGTGTCCCTATTTCAAGCGCGTGCGCGTCTCCCCCGGAGAATTATAGTGGCTTCCTACTTAAGGAAGATTCCTCAACTGTTCACAAATCACGTTCTTGTGATGTAGTGATCAGGGATGTCATGTCAGCGGTTCTAAACAGTATAGATCATGAACAGGGGGCTTCTTGCTCTAATCTAAGGACTGACTACTCTCCTCAAGAAAAGCCATTTTCCCTTGCCAGATAGGTTCCTGGACTTTCTGTGTGCTGGGCCACTAAACCCCTAAACACCTAAGCCCCTAAACTCGAAACTCTAGACCCTAAACCCCAAACCTCCCCCCCCCCCAAAAAAAAAAATGACCTAATTAAAGCCTGAAGTCTTGAAGCCTAAAGTCCTATTTTTGCCGCGAGGATGGGGATCTGTGCCGCGTCGTCCGGGAGGCGCAGGTGGCGAAGCGGATGCTTCCCGAGACCATGGCTGGAAGCTCATGGGGAGCCCTGTGGTCTTTCCCATACCCAGACCTTCCAAAATCCCTTAATTAAGGAATATACCTTAAATCAGAGTAAGACCTTTTCTGCATCGCCCGACGTTTAAAGGGAACTCCAGAAAGTTGGAATATGGATTAATGGTAGGATCCCCTATGATTTACCTTAGAGTCATGATATTCCAACTTTCTGGCTTCTACTGTAGGTTACCTTATAGGATTCCAAATTCCAAATATGAACCCCAAAAAGGAACTACAATGGAGCCTTTAGTCTTTAGTGATGGTTTTAGGGTTTATGGGGTTCCTAGGGGTTTAGGCTAGGGGGTGTTCTTTAGGGTTTAGGGTTTATAGGGTTTAGGGGTTCAGGGTTTATAGGGGTCTACTACAGGGGATTCTTTGGGGAGGGAGGGTTGAAGGTATACAGTTTCGTTCAAGCACCACCACAGGGAGGCGGCTTCGGGTTGTGTCAGGACGGTGACTAGACGATCGGTGTTCTGCCTTCCGGAAGTTGTGCAGATGCTGCCTGAGTTATTGTTTCGGGCTCAGGGGGGGTTTCTAATTCTACGAGTAGCATAGGGTTAGCTTGATCCTTGCGGAAGCTGTACCAGGACCGTAATCCTAACCGTGGGGGTCGTCGGTGTGGGGGGGGGGTCGTCGGTGTGGCAAAGCTTTCCCAACCTTTCTAACGGGCTTGAGGGTTGAAGAGGTTGACATGGAGTTCCCTGCTTCCCGCGCAGTCCAAGTATGCCTGACTCTTCGTTGTAACGCCACACTCGGGGGTGTAACGTATTAGGCCTTGTTGAGGAGCCTAGATAGAAGCCAGGCAGCCTTTCGAAATATCAAAGCTTCCGTAATCTTACATCCTAGTTCTCGGGAACTGTGACCTGGCACCCTTGCAGTCTCGATTGCAGTCTCTGGAATACCTTCTAGAAGCTTTAAAGTGCCCGTAGAGAAGCCTTGGGGCTTTGAAGACAATTAACCCCAAGCCCTATAAAAACCGAAAACCCTCGTAGAATCTTGAGAACCCCAAAGGCCCGTTTGAAACCCTTTGTGTCGTAGCCCTAAGCCCTCAACCCTAAACCCTCAACCCTAAACCCTAACCTTACGGTCATGCACGGTGGGCGGAACAAGGAGTGCAAAGAACCTAACCCCTAAATCCTGAACCTATCCACTTAGCTCCCAGGTCCTCACGTGGCTCCGTCAGACCTTGCTGGGCTTGGAGCTGAGCAAACGCAGGGTTGCTAGGTCTTTGCTTAAGGGCTTGGGCCTTTAGGTTTTAGGGTGGTTAGCAATATAATAAGGGTCCCTTTTTGGGTACCCTAAGTAATAGGTGCCGTACTATAGTAGGGACCCAAACAGGGACCCTAATTTTGACAACCACCCTTTAGGCTGCAAGTTTAGGGCAATGTAGGGTTTAACTTTAGGCCTTGGGATGGGAGTCCAGGGTTCCGGGGTGAGAGTTTGGGGAACAAATTTAGGTCTAGGGTGCACGGTACTACCCATGGCTCTAAGTACCCACAATTTACGGCTTGAGGGCGCAGAGAGCATGCCATATTCAGGCTTTCGGCCTGGGCTGTCTTGAGACTTTGGGCTAGGCTCCTCAATGCTATCCTTGATTTCCTGCCCTGCTTTGGGCATCGGGTTGGTTTCGCCTACTTCAGCCAACCTAGAATGCCATGGAGCACTCTACACACAAGAGGCTCTGCCAAGGCTGGAAAAATACACTGCCGTGTAAGGTTTCAGGGTTGGAGATGAAGAAGATGATGGTGGCTATGACGACGATGACTGCATCTATGCTGGCTATACTATAAAAAGACGCAAGGCTCGGAACCATAACTATACCTGTGCGATTACTACATGCGGAGGAGAAGGAGCTGAGGAGGAGAGGAGGAGGAGGAGGAGGAGGACAAGGGTGATCCCTGACGTCGCCTGGCGGATCCGTGATCGTACGAAACAGGCAGCGCCTCGACACGTGCACCCTAAGAACTAAGCAGCTAAAAATCCAAGTGTGCATGGTAACCTAAACCCTATAACACTAAACCTGAGCCTCGTACCTCGGAGGATCTCCAGTCCGGAGATGGCCTGGCTGATTTTCGGATGTCGCATCGATGCCATGGCTCAGCATATACGGCTGGAGAAAGCGTGATAGCCGAAATCAGTCCATGCCATGGTGTGGAGAAGCAAACCACCCAAGCAGTTTCGGCAAAGCTGCAAGGCAGAGCGCACTTGCGGTATCCCGTTCTAGTGATTGGAGATTTTGAGGTATGAGGTTTTGGGGCAAAGGGGCTAGCTGTCGGTCGGAATTTAGATCATCGCTGACTACCTTCGAGAAGCTTTGAGAGCACTGCGTGGCTTCTTGGGCCGGGTCGTCTCGGTCGTCTAATTTCGTCTGCGCCTGAAAACTACACCTGCCATACCTTATGGAACGGTCAGCCTTTGTCAGGCGATCGCAAGCCGCATTCTGCTCCACGCACCCATAGGGGTGGTTGTCAAAATTAGGGTCCCTTTTTGGGTCCCTATTATAATACGGCACCTAATAATATTTAGGGTACCCATAATGGGACCATAATTTTGACAACTACCCATAGAGTATATATGTTGACCCTACAGTTCCCATATGCAGGAACCCCTGTAAGGCCGAGGTTTGCCCAATATCCCGATTGAAACCCAGGACTCGAGCACTTGCACCAACAGGGCGTCGTCTCGACCTCGGAAGTCGCAAGTACGCCTAGACCCTTAAGGTAGGGGCCTTAGTAATTGGCGTAGGGTTCCTTTAGAGGGGTCTATAAGGCCTACAATATGAGACTGTTAGATATTTTGGAGAACTCAGGGTTAGGATGTTGCAACTGGACATTGAGATCCTCAAAGTAAGATCTTCTGATTTTCTATGTCGTGGTTTAGGCAGTGTTCAAAACATGAGGAAGTTGAAGCTGGCTACACATGCGTGTCTTTTTTGTGCGGCGCATGTATGTCTGGTTTTGCACATGTGCATGTACACACAGACATGTATGCATATATATATATATATATACACATACATGTATACACATATATGTATATATGTTTAACATGAAAGAGACAGAGACAGACCGACGGACAAATGGAGGTATGTAATACCTATACACATATAGACATACACGCACACACACACACAGGTGCACATACATACATACATACATACATGCATACATGCATGCAGACATATGTACATACATACGTACATACTACTATACTTACAGAAGTGCGTGCGCATGCACATTCGCTGACTTGTTTGCATGAGGCATGAAGGCCGACACTCATAAACCTTTTCCGTTGGACTTCTAAAGCCCCTGACTGGAGAGCCTCAACTCTTTCATAGCCATCGAGCCTTCTAAAATCCATTCTACAGACGGATGCTTGGCAAGAGTCACTACCCAAGCATGGAGACCCAAGCCCAGCAAAGATGTGAGTTTAGATTTGTGTTCTCGAAGCGCTGAAACCGCAAACCCCTAAATGCTAGTATTAGTATGAGTATCAGATAAGCCGCGAATTTGGATGAACTTCCGATATGTACAACGAACTGCACCAGGAGCCGCTGACGTGCGCTTACGTAATCCCTAATGCTTAAAGCTGTCCAAAGGCCTAGGTATTCCTTAGGCCTCAAGAACCCAAAACCCCCAAAGCCCAAGACGCTACCTAGACCCCCAACTACCCTCTATTAGTCGGTTATAATTAATTGCCGCAAATACCCAGTATAAAGGACCATACGGGCTCCATTTGAGGGCCATTAGGGGGCTGGTCAGCCCTGAACCCTAAACTCTAAACCCTAAACCCTAAACTCTAAACCCTAAATCCTAAACTCTAAACCCTAAACCCTAAACTCTAAACCCTAAACCCTAAACTCTAAACCCTAAATCCTAAACTCTAAACCCTAAATCCTAAACTCTAAACCCTGAAGCTCTCGAGCCCGAAACCTAAACCACACTGAAGCTCGCTGCAGTGCTTTCTCAGGTGCATCGGGACCTGAAGAGCAGTGGCCCTGGGTGCACCTTAGTAGGGTTCAGGGTTTAGGGTTTAGGGTTTCGGTTTGGGGTTTAAGGTGTAGCAGTACGTAGAGTCGGTAACCTTTAACCTGTTTGGGGGTATTGTATTAGGTTTAGGGTTCAGGGGTAAGTTCTTTGGGGTATTATAATCATAGGGATTATAGGGTTCAGGGTTTCGGGGTCACCTTTGACCTTTGTAGTTTTGGGGTACAAGAATCCTTCTAATCCAAAAGGGTTGAACCTTCAGTTCCCTTGCATTTCTGGACAAGTACCAGGACACCCCAATAGAGTCCTTATGGCCCTTAACAGTGGGTGTTTGGGGTCTATTTGAGGGTAGTTGGGTCTGGGTAAGGCAGGGGTTCATTTCAGCAGCTGAAGATAGGTCGCCGCACTCGGGTTCAGCTCTGAGAGGTTCGCGGTTCTGGCTTTGGGTACTACAGGGGCCTTTTACCAGTTTGGGGGGGGTTCCGTATTATGAGAACGCACTAATCGCTGGGCTTTGGGCTTATGTGCTTGGGGGGAAGATCAGGTGGCGTGCTCCTAAACCTGGCTGTATACCAATAAAAATAATTACTTGCATAATGGCAAAGCCGCTCACGTTCATGCCAAAGCTGCAAGAGTGCCACCTGACAGCAATTAATGTCAAAGGCGCAGACATTTGCTTGAAGGACATTGTGGTTGGCAGGGTCCTCATGCATTTGAAGCACGGCACCGCACCATTTATACTCACACCTAGAGCCACTCTTGAGCACTACGCCGCGAACCCCGCGTTCCCGTACTCTTAATCCTATGTTAGATTCTCCCCTTCATATTTACACCAGCCCGCGTGTAGTAAAGTCATTGTCAAGACTGGCACCTCGTATAGAACTTAAGCCACACCCAAAGGGTCCAAAGTACCGTATTGTAGAATGTAGGGTTTCTATATTAGGAATTGTTATTATGATCTAGGGAAGTATCCCCCATAACAGTACCTAGGATCCTTTGGGACAAGGCCCGTGCCTCGCACCCAAACGCCGCGTGCAGTATCCAGGTTCCAACATTTTTCTCTGCGAGGGGCGGCGGCGCATTCGAATCGGTGATTTTGGTCAGAGACCCACCTCTTGAAAGGGGCATGTGGGTCAACACCCGAAGCTGTTCAGAGGCTTTCATGGGGCTTTGGATTGGCTGGGACACTGCAGGCTCTAGAGATTTGAGTTAAGAGGCAACAGCATCGAAAAGTATGACTGCAGTCTAGTCTAAGCTGCATAAGAGGTACAGTTACAGGTTGTTCAGTGCTTGAAGCACTTGAAGTCGGTTGTAGGAGCTTTTGAAGGGAACCATGAGCCTCCGATCCATGCTACGAGGGATTGAGCAGGATTTTTTAAGCAGGACTTGTTTCGTGATAGATAGAGGAAATCACAGTTTCTGTCGTTTGGGAGTATACGTATAAGCGCTTTTCTCGTCACCCTGAGGCCAAAGCCTTACTTCTTTTGTTATGCATTTTCTGCCCGAAAGGAAGCCTGAGGGTTAGAGTTCCCAACGCCAATATACTCAGTTCTCCAATACCAAACTTTTAAACTTTTCGGGTTCTTATAGTTTAGTAGTAATCTGAATCTTTGACCTTTTATTTCTGTGGCTATTGGGGGAGTAAGTATATAAAACCCGCGCAAATGTGTTATAACTCCCATTTAGAGCCCGTTGCAACCCCAGGTTGGATACTGCCCCCAGTCTATAGCAGTCCCATAAGATTTAGAAGACAACTAGATACAAGATATAATCTAGCCCTTCATATGACCGGGAGCAGGACCTAAATCCTGGGTGTCTTGGGAAGAGTGGTTTAGGCATTCTCACGTCGTGGGCCCGGTTTAACCTTGAACACCGACAAGCTTGAGCACTAAAATGATGTTAGGCCCTAGGGTTTTAGGGTTTAGGGTGAAGGGTTTAGGGTCTTGGGGCGTTTACCTAAGGCGTTCAGGTTTAGTAGGGTCTAGGTCATGCACCATTGAGGTGGAGAGTATTCGGGAGGAGTCCCTGTCAGGAGACGCAAGTGGAACAAACACAACTGGCTCTTTGACCCTAAACCCCTTCACCCCGAATACCCCTAAACCCTAAGCTCCAAACCTTAAAACCCGAATCCGAATTCGCCCGAAGGTATTTCTACAGTTCTTCAAAGCACCGCCTATGCTTCTTCCTGCGCCCGAGCCTCGAGTTCTCGCGGCGAATCTTTAAATGGGGTTTTACCCTTAAGGACCTGTCGAACTAGTCAGAAACCATGTTGCCAATCTTCAACGTCGGTTGCACATACCGCAATAGTGCCCTTAACAACGCTGTCCCTCATAATTAGTCACCCTAAACCCTAAACCCTGACAGTAGCTCGAACCTTCACAAACTTTGCATCGCATGAAACCGCTCCATATATACATATATATATATATATACATACATACATACATAAAAATATATATATATATATATTACAGTAGACTCGAGTTTCGCGGGGTGGCGCATCGCACTGGATGGCAATGTCTTTTTTGGTCTTGATGGTTGGTCCTGTTCAGGCAGCTTTTGGCTGTTGCCTTCTGCTGCCGTTGTTGCTGTCGTCGTCGCGGTTGTTGTGGTCGTCTTTGCTTGCAACATTCCCCGTCATGTAGATTCGGTTCAATGTAGATGTAGACTCACCCTATAAATCCCTAGCTCAGTTATGAAGGCCCCTATGTCAACTTGGGTCCCTATAGTAAATCCTTACAATAGACCTCATAGTAGCCCTTATAGACCCCTCTAAAGGAACCCTAGGAACCCTATCATAACGAGGAACCATACGGTTGATATAATAAATCCTGCATTACCCATAATAAGGAATATACCATAATTCCCACAGCCTGGGGTCCTTTAGGGTCCTTTATCCACCCCTTTAAGGGAACCCTAGGAAACCTTTTTGTAACAAGGAGCCATAGTACATCAACTTGGGTAGCGCCGCTCTGCACGAGGTTGGGACCCCTGCGTACATGTCGCCGGAGCTCATGAGGCGGGGGTAGGGAGACGAAGGGAGAGAGTCCAGGGTTTCGGGTATTAGGGTTTGGGGCTTGGGGCTTAGGGGAGGGAGGGAGGGAGAGAGTCTAGGGTTTAGGAGTTTAGGGTTTAGGGGTTTGGGGTTTAGGGGAGGGAGGGAGGGAGAGACAGAGGGACAGAAGTTCGGGTTTAGGCTTAGGACTTCGGGGTAGGCGCGACTGGCAAGGTTTCTACAACTAAGGGGCGTCCAGGGGTCGGAGCATTTCAGAGTCTCACCCCCCTACAGGGAACTCCAGAAAGTTGGAATATGGTTTCATAGTAGGATACCCTATAATTTACCATAGAAGGGTTAGGATAATCATATTCCAACTTTCTGGCTTTTGCCGTATAGTTCCTCATGCTGGTATCCAAAGTGTACCCGAGCCGCCGATTCTAATCGTTGAGGCCGCTTGGTTACTCAAACCTCAGCTCGCAGTTCCAGGGTTTAGGATTTGCAAACCCTAAACCCTAAGCCCCAGGGCTCTACACCCCTAAACCCTAAACCCTAAGCTCTGCACCCCTAAACCCTGAAACCTAAGCTCCACACCCCTAAACCCTAAACCCCTAAGCCCCTAAACCCTAAAACCCTTTACAAGCCCTAAAGCCCAACCCCAGATCAGACAGCATGAAACCCCCGAAGACATGAACCTTCAAAAGGGCCCAGTGACGGAAGTCAAGTTCATTCAAGCATCCTAAACCCAAAGGGCCCAAAGTACCTGTATAGTAGAATGTAGGGTTTCTAGATTAGGAATTGTTATTATAATTTAGGAAGTATCCCCCATAACAGTACCTAGGACCCTTTGAGGACCAACACCTTATTACATACTTCTCCTAGCGGGTTACTGAAAAATCTAGACCCGACTCCTTCCCCTTCAGGAATGAGCGCTACGACTTCCACGTGGACATGTGGGCCTTGGGCTGTATCTGCTTCGAGTCGATGGCTCAGCAACTGTAGGGTTTAGTGTACCTTAACCCGGAATAACGCACACCTTTAAGGACGTGTATAAGCAAATCATAATAAGGAACCCTAAAAGGGAATGTTATTCAGGGTGATAAGGTAGGTTTTAGGCTCTCCCCTAATCCTGAAAACCCAGCGCTCAAATCATACAAACCTGCAAACCCTCAACCCGAATCTTTTCTTCGAGGTCGGTGTTCCTTTTGTGGTATGAGGTGTTTTGGGATTCCTTTTGTGGTATGAGGTGTTTTGGGATTCCTTTTGTGGTATGAGGTGTTTTGGGACTTGAGGTTCTGGGGTTCAAGGTATCCGGGTGAGCATGTGGAAACTTTGTCGGCCGGTCGGGTTGCTTGGTTAGTTGCGTCGTTTGCTTAGCGCCGCATGCACGGTTTAGGGTTTAGGGTTTAGGGTGTCAACCGATCAGTTTCCAACGAGGTTGGGGGGTGTTCAGGTCTGCTAGCATCTTGAACGTGGATCCAGGCTGTTGGGTTGATGGTGGTTGTAGGCAGGTTAGCCATACCCCAGCTTGCAACAACGAGGCATTTGACTCCCGAGCCTCAAGGCACAAAAGCCTTTTTAAGCCCGGCCCCGAGAGGTGTCACGCAACAGCTTGAGGATACCCTAAACCCCAAGACCGCCCGACGCACTCTTTTACGATCATCCGGGTCATTTTGTAGCCCTTCCTGTAGCCGAAAAGACCTGCCTTGTTGAGGAACGATATCTAGAAAGCATATCAAGGAACCCTAAAAAAGTAGGTCTTTTGGATACAGGTCTAACCCCCGAAAAGGCGAATGAGCTTCCACCTTTAGACCAAGCAGCCTCAAAACCTAACATTTGGGTCCCTAGATGCCGACGTCCCCCAGCCTGAAACCCTCTACAGTAGAAGCCCGAAAGTTGGAAACCACCTGGCCTCAATCCTTAAGAGTAATGTATAGGGAATCCCAGCACTGCTTGGCCTTAATCCGGTTTCCAACTTTATGGGGTTTACTGTACTCTTACTTCATTCCAATCACTGTCCTTGTTGTAACTAGTTATCAGCATTATTGCTACTCTCAGGTGATTGCTTTGCATAATTATCAGCTATATTCCTACAATCAATTACAGTCAGATCATTAGTACTTGGCCTTCAAGAGCTTTCGAAGATATTTTACCCAGTTTGGGACTTCCATCATCCCTGCATCTGACACTCTCTTGGTCGTAGAGGGTTTAGGGTTTAGGGAGTAAGTAACATTTCACCCGTTATTTTTTGGGGGGGGGGGTACTGGCGACTTGAGTTAGGCTTCAGGGTGAAGGGGTAACATTTTGCCCGTCTTTGGTGGCACTGGTTACTTGAATTATAGGGTTTAGGGTGACGGGGTAGCCTCTTACCTGTTTATGGGGCACTAATTGCTAGAATTAGGCTTTAGGGTGAAGGGGTAACCTTTTGCCCTTTGATGGGGCACTAGAACCCCTATCTAATCCCAAAGGCCTTTCGTTCCCTTAGGATGTTGCAAACCCTAAACCCCTAAACCAATCTAAACCCTAAACCCCTGTAGACCCTACCCAGAGGCCCCACAGTAGTTCCTTTTTGGGATTACCTTATAGGATTCTATATACGAACCCCAAAAAGGAACTGCTTTGGGGCCTTTGGGTAGACCCAGAAAAGTTCTGAGGCTTTGCTGCCTTGACCTGCCCTTTGCAGCAAGTTCACTCCTCCAGCTCGCGGGGCGGCCCAGAGCTTCCGCGTTTTGAGTGTGGGGCTTTAAGGGCTTAGAGTGGAGGGTCTAGGGTTTAAGGTGTGGGGTGTAGGGTTTAGGGTGGAGGGTTTCGGGTGTAGGGTTTAGGGTTTAGGGGATTTCGGGTTTTAGGGTTGTGTAGGGCTCTGTGGTTTCGGAACTTGGGTGCCTAAGCCATCCCGAACCCCAAACCCTTAGCCCGGGGCCTTGGGTTTATAGGGCTGAGGGCTTTAGGGTACCACTGGTCCTGGTACAGTGTTACAGCAAGAAGTGAGTTTCCGAAAAAATAGAGACCCTAATATAGTATCCTAAATAGTAGGATCCTTATTATAAGGACTCCAGAATAAGGTACCCCCAGTTTTCGGAAACTCCCAGAACGGGCGATAGCTCGAAGACCCGAACTCAGTCCTGTGGTTTAGGACTTTCGCGGTAGTGTATTTTTTCAGGAGTTTAACTTAAGTTACTTGTAATACAAATACGGTCCTACAGGATGTAATGCTGTTTTCTTACTATGGTAATTCAGATTTATCTCTGAACCAGAACCCAGTTTTTGGTTTTCGTAGTTGGGTTTTAGAGCTCATGGCCTGGAACTGTATCCGCTATAGTAGTTCCAGTCGATTGCTGATGACGGCCTCTACACGCTCAGCCCTACACCCTCATAGAACACCCTACGAACAAGTGTGTCTATGTGTGAGGCCCCTGTGTTAAACCTTAAGCACATCCGAAACACTAGTCTTCGAGTCTATTGAGACATCAACTGCTGGCAAGCTGCATCCCTCAACTAGCAACCCAGAAGCCCGTGCCCCATTTGCCAAAGGCCCTATGGCAAACCCTTAAAAGTATGACTCATCTTCGAGTGCTGAGATGTTGACCCTAAACCCTAAACCCTGAATCCGAAACCCTAAACCCTATAAACCCCTAAACCCTAAACCCTAAACGGCAACCCCACGGTTCCCTCTGAACTTCAAGCGCCTGAACAGTTATCCATCTTGTTCCTCAGCGCTCTTTGCCACAGCTGTAGAAGAATACACCACGCCAAGACCCCCATTAAAAAGTGCATTACCTGGTGGTGATTTGCATAGTTACATGGGAATTTCCGAAAACGGGGGGCACCTCATTTTGGGGGTCCTTATGATACGGATCCCTACTATTTAGGGTACTATCATTAGTTTTCGGAAACTCCCAAATAGTAAACCCCAGCTATCAACACCTCTGTTGACCCGAAGTCCTTCAATCCGCAGGTCCTAAACTCCCTCCAAGGACCCCCAAAACCCTTACAGATCCCTTTGAAGGGAGCCTTAGTATGGAACCCTACGGTACCCCTACACAAGGGAACCCTCAAAAACCCTAAACCCTAAGCCCTACGGTGCCCCTAAAAAACGGAACCCCCAAAACAGGGAGCTTCTCAAGCCCGACAGGCCATGCAAGTCATGGACTCCGAGCCGGTCTGGAGCCTAAGAGTCGAAAGCGTGGGGATCCTTTGTTTCGGGGCTTTAGGGGCTTATAGGGCTTAGGGTTTATAGGGTTTAGGGTTTCGGGTTCAGGGTTTATAGGGTTTTTGGGTTTAGGCTTTGGGGTTTAGGGTTTAGGTTTAGGGTTCAGGGTTTAGGTTTAGGGTTTAGGGTTCAGGGGCTTAGCGGTCCAGGATTTGGGTGAGGGTGTAGAGGTTAGGGTGTGGCTAGTACGTAGGGGTTTAGGGTTTAGGGCTTGGTTTGGAAGTATCGGTAAGGATATCCCCTTGTAGTCCCTGTCGAATGAGATCAGAAGAATATGCCACGCTACTTACCACGTCCCCTCAGCCTTCAAGTATGCTGATCCTTTCCCCCGAACCCTAAACCCAGCCAAAACCTACCCTAAACCCTAAACCCTAAACCCCAAACCCAAACTTAAGACCCGTTTTCCAGGCCAACAGACCCGGGTTCATGTTGCTTGGGCGGAGATGAGCCGTTTGAGCCGCAGGGTCAAGCTTTGGCGTGTTGGCGAAGCCCGTTTCCTTAAAGGCCCTACCATACGGCATCAGGATCCCAACTCTAATCCTTTATGAGGGAGTTGGTTCAGTAGCTATTAGTTTGACCCTAGACCCTAAAATCCTACACCCTAAACCCAAAAGCCTTGAAGCCCTAAACCCTAAACCCTAAAACCCTAAAACCCTGAACCCTAAACCCGAAGCCTTTGCGTGACTTAGTCCTGAAGGTTTTCTTTTAGGCGGAGGATCCCAGAAGCGAAAGGCCGGTTCAGGCATGGAGACTGCATAGTGCCAAAGTCCAAGCAGGGGTTTAGGGGTTTAAGGAAATAATACGGGATTTAGGGTTTAGGGGTTTAAGGTTAAGGGTTTAGGGGTTTAGGGTTTAGGGATTAGGGGTAAGCTCAGAAACCAAGAGAAAGCTAGTATCCTGGCCCCCTAATCTGTCAACCCATGAAAAGCTCCATTGGGAGCCCACCTTTGTCAAACTGTAAACAAGAACCAGCAAAAGCACTATACAACCCAAAACATCTCTACAAGGCTTTGTATACAGATTTCGACAAGTTCATAATTCTGTTGTAAACGCCTGACAAAACCCACCCAGAGCCGTAGACATCAGGCATGGGACGTAGTAAATAAGGTTATAAGTACCTTAATTGGGGTTATAAGTATTTCGTAGTATAGCTACCTTACTTGTTACCCTAGTTACTAAGTCCCATGATCCTCTAAGTAGACATCAGGCATGGGACAAGCTGGAGGGTCGAAGTGAGCAGCTCATTTACGACCGGCGCCCGGCCTTTTTGTTGCCAGTGGTTTAGGGCTTAGGGGTCTATAGGGGTCTAGGGGTTTGGGATTTGGGGTTTAGTGGTTTAGGATTGAGGGGTTTTTGGGTTTAGGGTTTGGGGATTTAGGAGATTTGGGGCCTTAAGGTTTAGGCCTTAGGGCTTAGAGATGCGTGGCTTACGTGTTTTGTGAAGGTGCTGAGTAAATGCCGGGGCCTGATTCATTACCAATATGATTCCTTTAGGCCCCTCAAACTAAATGTGCCATAATTTGCCCACCAAAGCCCTATGCAAATTATTTAGGGCCCTATGTATAGTATAGTCATAGGGATCCTTGGGGATGTAGAGGGGGAGGGGGGTAGGGGAGTACACTTCCTTAAAGGCTTCATTCAATCCTTATTATAAGTATTAAGGCCCCCGACCCACTCCCCCTACTCCCCCACCCTAAACCCTAAACCCTAAACGGTGCTATGATATAGGGTTTAAGTGTATTGAGGTTTCTACTATGTCTGGCATTTCGCAGTTGCGAGGGTCTCGGTTCCAGTCCTTTCCCGACTGTGGAGGGCTTAGGGGGATGTTTAGAGCTTAACTCTACAGGATGTAGGAGTTTAGGGGTTCCTTTAAAGGGACTCCATAGGGTTTAAGGGGGCTTAGGGTTTAGGGGTTTAGGGTTTTAGGGTTTAGGGTTTAGGATTTGGGAATTTCCGAAAATTCGGGTACCTTATTGTAGAGCTCCTGATAATAAGGATGCTACTGTTTAGGGTACTATATTAGGGCCCCCATTTTTGGAAACTTCCACATGAATGTCAAGACAATACCTGCCCTCACAGTCGGTAAGAATACTAGAACATTATGGATTCACCTGCATGTTCCTCGGCGCGGGATCTGAGGAGAAAACTTAGGCAGACGGGAGTCCATGAAGCCTAACACCGAAGCCTGCTGCATTCGTAATACGATCCTAAGGGTTCCATATTGGCCTTAAGTTTGTGGTTGACTTTCTAATATTGTGAGAGAATGAGCGCCCAAACCTAGTTCTAATCATTAAGCCCTAGTATATTGCTAGAACCTTCATAGAGTCGAGTCATAGGCACTGAGTTTTGTGGTGCGGAATGGGCTCACATACAGACGCTGCCTTACAGGTCTGCCCTTCGTAAGCTCGCCTTGATTGCATACAGCAATCTCCAAACCGAAGCGCTGTCGCATTCAAAAGCTTGCAGACTGGTTGCAAGTGAGTGCGCAAGATTTCTGCCTTTCCACTTTGAAGCAACATGTTTGAGCAGAACTTGCTGTTCGCATGTAGTCTTTTGCTGTCAAGAAACGAACCGTGTGCACAGTTGCTTCAATAGACGTGCCAATGCGCATTCAAGTTGCATTGGAAGCCTTCTTCTACCATGGCTGGGGCGAAGTGTTCGCGGTTGATGTGAGTCCATCGGATACGTTCACACTGGCGGACCTTGCTCATCATGCAGTAAGCGAGAAAAAACGCTTTCAGCAACCAGACTGAGAAAGCATGCTTCAAGAAATTTGAAGTTCGCTACAAGGCCAAGTATCACGCCATCACGACGCCAATGCTTGAAGTTCCTCCTCTAATTTTTCGGGCCCTTGTATTGCGATTCCGATGAATCTGGCGCCATACACTTCGCACCAGAACCCCCAAGTACCCTTTAAAGGGCTCTAGTATTTCTCATTGGGGGCTACAATAAAGGGTAGTTGAGGGGTCTAGGTAGGGTTTGGGGCATTAGACTGAGTAGACGCTCTCTCTGAAAACAGGTTCAGGATGTAGGGGTTCCGAGAATGCGACAAGGCTTTCGAACACAGCTGAACATGTCTACCAGCACACGCCTCCATGAGGTGAACCATTGGCTACTCCAGAAGGACGTGAAGAACAGGCACGTCGGCTGTTTCGCAATCGCTCCGGCTTCTTGACATATGCTGCAGTGTAGTGGATGCGCCTTTGGTAGCATAGCGGCACTGACAAGGACTCTTTTGATTGGGCCTTGCCAAAGCAAAAGCCCTCCACTAGAAAGGCTCAACTGAATGTTGCTTTGAAGCTGCCCCTGAATTAGCGAAGTATCCGAAACTGTACACTTTTTCCCAGTGCAGTTCAAGAGCAGTGGCATCCCGAGCCCATTACAATGCCGCCCCCGACCCCACTTTTTATTTGTTCAGGGTTCGCTGCCAGTTGCGTTTGAAACTGACGTTGGATGCTCTGTGCATGGAAGCGCCGTCAGCTCACACATGATGACACATGGAAGCATCCGATCATCCCAGGTCCCCAGTCGTACCCTTATGCCACTTGTGCCGTGTTTGATTTTGGTGTCTACGTGTTAAAACTCAAACGTCTCCCTCTAAGTTTAGGGTGTAGAGCCAGCACCCCAAAGAGGCAAGGTTGCCGTTTCCTGACTATTGAGTTCGGACGTTTCGGGTTCTGTGTCAGCCCTGTTGCTTCCTGAGCTGGCGTGGTTCATGGTCTGTGAGACGGGAGCGTTGTAGCCCTCTTACGCAAGCAGTAGGCACGGGATCTCACTGGTGTCTGGGGCACCCACAGACATCCTTCAATATGGCCAAGCATCTCGGACTAGACACGCCTGAAACCCTCCCAAGATACCCTAATCCCTAACCCCTGATACCCTAAAACCCTATACCCGGACCTAAACCCTAGACCTAAATGCTATCCGGAGGCCCACTGCGAGCCGCGTTTTGGAGGAATCCCTCTTCGCAGAGGGAGGCGCCGCAGACGTGGGACCCTCCGAGGAGGCCGGGTGGGTAGTGGGCCTCCTTGGGCTTCATGTAATATAGGGGCCTTAAGAATTAGAGTACTTTAAAAGGGCTTATAAGGGCTACTATATGGGATTATCGTGTTGGGGCTTTAACAACTGGAATAAGGTTTGGGGGTATATTATGCTAGAGATATACAAAGGAACCCAAAACCCTGTTCTAATGATTGAGGCCCCTACATTACGGTTTAGGGTTTCAGGAGCTTTGTTCAGGGTTTACGGCTTAGGCCCCCGACGGGTTCTTAGGGCTTGGGTTTTAGGGTGATGCCCCTGACATGTAATTTCTTTCTCGCAGGCAGTTTCTTCATCGCCTACAATTGCCCTCTTAGTCATGCACTTAGCATTGCGAACCCCTTAGTGCTGTATCCCTTATGTCTTGAATCCCGAGACCCAAAGTATGGTTGGTAGACCTCGGCGTGATAAGGCCCTTCTTTCAGACGTGAGCATGAAAGACGGCTCCAAGCCAATAAGAAATCTTTCGGCGTAGCAGAAAGGTTCACGTGAGAAAAAACTATGACATGTTTGGGTCATCTATAGTCGAAGCCAGAAAGTTGGAACATGGCTTTAGGAGGTTTAGTGCTAGGATCCCTCATACTTTACCTTAAGGGCATGAGGATAATGATGTTCCAACTTTCTGGCTTCTACCATATGTCGGTCTTTATTAGGAGAGTTTCTTGGTTACCAGGCACTTGGATCCATAGGTGTAGCGTTCACGGTCTGGGGTTTAGGTCCAGGGGTCCTTGCTTCTCACCAAATGGGTGGTTGTCAATATTAGGGTCCCTTTTTGGGGTCCAAATTATAATATGGCACCTAATATTTAGGGTACCCAGAAAGGGACCATCATTTTGACAACCACCCAGATGATACTTGTTGGGTCAAAGGCCTTCGCCGGAGGATGGTGCTTGGATTGGCTTGTTTTCAAAGCTATTTCCGAATAGATGACCTTCTTGACTCGAGCCGGCAGCAGTAGCAAGCAGCAAGTGCGCGTTTGTGTTGGGGGCGGAGCAGCATATGGCGGTTTCAGAAACTTCGTGGGCGAACAGAAAGCACTCCAGAACGCCATGGTAGGCATGCCGAGACATTCCCAGAGACTTAGTTAAGGAAGATGGCTTAAATCCTAATATTCAGCCCCTTGTTTATACAATTAAGGGATATTGGGCTCTGTGGGTTCTTGGGCTCATTCCTGAACCTCCAACCCGAAGCCACGAACTCGACACCCCGACGAACCCAAGTAAGTTCGTGTCCATGGCAAACCCGAAATTCTCAACCCTCAACCAACACAGTGTATGTAAACAAGCAGACCCTAAACCCTGAACGTTGAACTGCCATCCAACACCTCGCAACAAAATCGACAAACGGAACACAAAAAACCTGCGCCTTGAACCCTATGTAGATCCTAACTCCCCTTAATAAACAACATCCAAAGCACGGAACACCAAAAAACCAGCAACGGAGGAGTGGTTGTCCCTGTCGGTGCCCGAAATGTTCAGCAGCCTGGAGCTCAAGAGGGTTTAGGGTTTGCTGTGGACTACTTACAGGATCAGGGGACTTAGTAACTAGGGTTATAAGTAAGGTAACTATACTTTATAGCTACTTATAACCCGAATTAAGGTGCTTATAACCTTACTTACTAGGCCCCATGATCCTCCAAGTAGCGGTTTAGGGTAGTTACTAAACCCTAAACCGGGTTAAGGGCTCAGGCTTAGCGCACCGTATATGAATACACATGGGTGGTTGTCAAAACTAGGGTCCCTTTTTGGCTCATTCTTACAATACGGCACTTATTATTAAGGGTACCGGAAAAGGGACCATAATTTTGAAATCCACGCATGTGTGATATGTGTTCATGATCAGGCTGCTGCAGCATCTACGCAGGGCCTACGTACGCCTCAGTCGAGAATCGAAGCACCAATCACCTTGTCTCTCCCCAAGACCTTGTGGCGAAGACTGGGATCATGCAAGAGCAATACTGAAGCGAATCTTTTTTGGGGGGGGGGGTAGGTTAACATAGATGATTATGTAACACACCCCAAATGCCTGTGCTCATTGCTAAGGCGCCGACAGTAGAAGCAAAGGATTGAGTGTTTGTTAGTTTGCCATTTCTGTGCTCTTGTCCGTTAGTAGTGCTGGTTGCTGTAAATGCAGCACAAGGTTTTTTGTCGTATTTGCGAGTGGCACTGTCAAACAATTCTCTAACAATTCTTCCTAAACATGTAGTGAAAAGAGTTATTACTGTTGTTATCATTTCTACTACTGTATGACGCATTGCGATCGTGTTAAGAAAATTGTTGCTGTTACTATGTTTTGTTGTTAAAATCTGCTGGGGTGTTCTTGTTGTTATTGCTGTTACAGCTGGTGCTGCTGCTGCTGCTACTGCTGCTCTTGTTGTCCTGTTGTCCTTTTTGCTCTCGCTATTGGTACTGTTATTGGTATTGTCATTTGCCTCGTTATTTTTGTTGCTGCTTGTGCTGTTGTTGCTGCTTCTGCAGTTCAGTATAGCTACTACACGCCACGTTTTCGTTCCCGAAGTCATCGCTATCATCCTCTCTTAGGTACTGAGAAGAGAAGGGCGCAGATGATGACCGCCAGCCTCAGCCCCAGAACAGCTTCTAACAATCCTTGGGTGAGATATAGGAGTTCGGAGGGGCTCGTGTGCAGCCTGCACAAGTGCTCATTTCTGCAGGGGCATGTGGTGGTAGCGATGGGATATGAAATCGACACCAGATACGTATGGGAGTTTCCGAAAATAGGGGACCCTTATGTAGTACCCTAAAGACTAGGATCCTTATAAAAGGACCCCCAAATAAGGTACCTAATTACGGAAACTCCCATATGCTCAAGTCCCCATCCTTGGGCCTATACCTTAACCTACCAAACCTACTTTTTTGCAGGGTCCGTATAAATTCCATATTAGGGTTTATAATAGGAACCTACAAAAAAGTAGGGTTTGGTAGTTGAAGGTATAGCCCACTTTGGTTCCTGTCTTGCTGGTTTACTGCTTGGAAGCGGCTTCGGTATGTCGCTAGCTTCGGAAAGTATGGCCAGAATGCTCTTTGAGTTTAAAATTTAAAGCCCTATACGGTATTCCCGTAAACCCTAAACTCGGTGGGCGGCAGAAGTTTCGCCTTCGAGTCGCGAGCTCGTTGGTGTACGTAGAGGATGTTCGCAGCTAGGAAGAGGTAGAGTGTGCGAAGGCGGCATGACTGATGTGGCCAATGTTTGGGACTTTTAGCGCCTGGGGTTACCAGGTCGTTTTGATTGAGGGTTCTTTTGTGTTCTAGATCCGGGTTCAGGCGTAACCGACGGTAACCGATTTGGAAAGAGCTGGGTTCAGAGTCTAGGGGTTTATAGGAAGGTTTGGGCTTGGCCTTTCCGAGGGTGTTGGATGGAGGACGATGGATTCAAGTCTAAGGTTCTCGGGGTGATTTGGCCAGTGAGGGGGCATGCAGCTTTGTGGCACACTTTCAGATGCCCGAAGACTCTGGGAGTATGTATATAAAGCAGTTAGGAAGCCCAGGAGTTGCGGACGGGCTGAGAAAGGGTTTGCTCGGGTGTCCACACCCTCTTCACACACATGACATGTGTATACAGATCTAGACATATAATATGAGTATGTGTGTATAAATATACACGTGCATGTACGTGTATTTGTATGTACATATATATATATATGTATAACACATATGCATATATATATATATATGTATATGTATGGATAGGTAGAAAGATACATTACGTGTTCTGTAGCATTCCCAACATTACGATATGACAAGAATATGTATTTCAATCTGCGCTTAAGGTTCATGCAACAATTACTGCAATACAATTCCAAACTCTTCATTGGTTGTTTTGTTGCCCACCCATATGCGAGTTTCCAATCAGGGGACCCTAATGTAGTACCCTAAATAGTAGGATCCTTATTATAAGGACCCCCAAAGAAGGACCCCCAAAGAAGGCATCCCCAAATTTTCGGAAACTCTCATATGAGGCGAGACCGGAGCGACCTAGGACCCAAAGCCAACAAATCGACAGAATCCCTGAAGTCTAATCCCCGAACCCACAGGATCCCTTAAAGGATCCCTTAAAGGATTCCTATGAAATCCTAGAGCTCAAAACTCTGAACCCCGATGTCAACTCCAGAATCCTCAAACCCTCACAGCCTTGAGCCGTGACTTCCTAAACCCCGGGCAATAGAGAAGCCGCAGTAGTTACCATGATTGTTTCTCAGGCTTCCTGATTGTATTCATACATATATATATATATATATGTTCTTACTATATGTATACACTGTCTATTTGTACAGTTATACATTCTCTTTATTTATATATACATATACAAATACTCATGTACATATATGTATATATATATAGAGAGAGAGAGAGAGAGAGAGAGAGAGAGAGAGAGAGAGATACACATACCCCAATAGCATTATTTAAATCTTGCGGCTCTATTTGTTGTTGCTTCCGTGATGAGGCACCGCGGCCTTGTCTGGCTCTGACACACACAGCCCCAATGCTGCATTTAGTGAGACCCGCAGATATCTTCCGAGGGTTTCATGTTCGCTGCAGGGGCTTACATAGAGGGCATTGTGGGGATTCCTTAGAGGATGAGGGGACTTAGCAAGGAAGGTAAACCCGAAACCCCAAAACCCCAGTAAGCCTTGCTTATAACGTACTGATGATGCCCCCGCTTTTTAAGTCGCCTGTTCCTTTTAGTAGTGTTGCATGTTGCTGGGCTTCCGGGTTACAAGTTAGCATGTTGGCTTTTGCGATTCCGGCTAAGGGTAGTCCGCCAGTGATAATAATCTAGTCGTAGCCTTAATGCTTACCAGGCTCGCACCAAACTCCTTTGTTGTGAGTCTAATCATCAGGTTCTGCTGGGATGCCCGTTTCCTTCGAGTTACGGCAGTGCTAGAGTTCCTGGTTGCTTCTTTAATGTGGCTTAGGTTTCATATTCCCTGCCCGGCTCAAAAGCCACTTGGGCTTTAGATACTGGATGTTCTTTGCCTTTGGGTTTAGGGTTTAGGGTTTAGGGCTCTACAATTCCAGTCAAATTATCTGTGAGACGAGGATTAGGCCCTTGCTCAAGACACCCCTTTGCACGGTCTCGAGTTCGGGACCCTCTTGCTTTAAATGCTTTCGCGGAACAGAGACTGCACTGTACCCTGTACCCCGGCATAATTCCATGAGAACTCCAAGCAGACATGTGTTACCTACAATAGACTACTTTGGGGGTTCCTTATTTTTGTGGAACAATCTAATTTGAAACGCTTCGCGTCGTCCGCCTCGGCCCGGCTTTTCGCGCATGCGGCGACTGGCTACCATCCGGCGCAGCAGGAAGCTCTTGTACGAAAATAACAACAGTTGGAATCGCACTTGTATTAATTGTAGGGCAGGGCAAAGCAGGGCAGAGCAGCGTAAGGCAGAGGGCTTGTCTTAAAAAGCCAGCAAGAGGTTGATGTGACCATTGTAGCATCTCCGCGTTCTGTGCCTGATGTTCGACATAGCCCCTAGCTGGCGATAGCGATGCTTGAATCTCCGATGCTATGAGAAGGTTAGGTCGTGGAGCCGTGTGCTGTGCTGCCCAAACTGCCCAAAGCAACGCTATTTCCGAACTTTGCCTGGGGGGGCAGGGGGGAGCGGGGGGGGGCGGGGGGGGGGGGGGGGGGGGGGGGGGGGGGGGGGGGGGGGGGGGGGGGGGGGGGGGGGGGGGGGGGGGGGGGGGGGGGGGGGGGGGGGGGGTGTGGAAGGAGGAAATTGGGTGGGACTGCCTCAGACAGCCAAAATCTAGTGGAGGAGGTGGGAATTCACCACCGGACCTTGGGGCTAATCGACACGTTTCCATTTTTAAGGGGGGGGGGAGGGGATTAAGAGGTGGGGAATAGAGGGAATCCGAATAGGAACCTCTGACCGCTTCGGCCGGACCCGAGGCGAATTTAGCCCAAACTCCCATTCTAATTATTAAGGCGCCTTTTGTAGTGTTCAGAGGGCAACTTGGTCTGAATCAAGTCTTCCCCGAGCATTTGAGAGGCACCCTGTACCTAGTTCTTGCCTTACAGCCGCGGCCTGTGGACATCGACTCTGCCATGAGCTGAGGATCAAGGCTTTGATGCAGCAGATGTTCAAAACGCTTCCAAAAAACTCAGGGGTACTCAGAAACAATTTTTAATTTTTTGTTATTATAATCCCTAAGAAACAGCTAAAATTATCATTTTTGCTAGGGTTCCAAGTTCTGTATAGAAAAGGTGTAGCAGTGTGAATCAACTTACACCTGAACATACACCTGGGACTTGTGCCCCCCTTTGTGGCTGGCAACCGGCAGGGAGGTCCAGTGGCAGCTCCTTGTTGGAGGCAGCAGCAAGATCAGATCAATATGGCCATGAACCCTAAACCCCTACAGTAGAAGCCAGAAAGTTGGAATATCATTATCGTAACCCCTTTAAGGTAAATTATAGGGGATCCTACCATTAATCCATATTCCAACTTTCTGGAGTTCCCTTTAAACGTCGGGCGATGCAGAAAAGGAGCTCAACAAAATCATGCTGCAACAGACCCCAAACCCTAAACCCCAGTCTGGAAGTCTGTCACCGCAGCGACCATTGAGGTTGGATGACAACAGCACATCATGGAGAGTACTCCCCCCCAAGTGACACGGCTTCCGTGTCTGTGGCAGGCACAGAGGGTCGCAGGGTTGAGACCTGGGCCCAGAGACTCCAATATCCCTTAATTCAGGAATATTCCTTAAATTATAGTAGGATCCCCAATATGATTTAAGGAATATTCCTTAATTAAGGGATATTGGAGTCTCTGGGGGCTGTTGTCGTGAGGGTTTTTTGGGCTTGGGCTTGCGTCTTTCAGGGCCCAGCTTTTGGGAGGGCAGAGATAGGCTTGAGGGTTCAGGGTCTTGGGTTTAGAGTTTAGGGGTTTAGGGTCTGGGGGTTAAGGGTTCAGGGTTTGGGGTTTAGAGTTTAGGGGTTAAGGGTCTAGGGGTTGAGGGTTCAGGGTCTTGGGTTTAGAGTTTAGGGGTTAAGGGTCTAGGGGTTAAGGGTTCAGGGTTTTGGGTTTAGAGTTTAGGGGTTTAGGGTCTAGGGGTTTAGGGTTCAGGGTTTTGGGTTTAGAGTTTAGGGGTTTAGGGTCTAGGGGTTTAGGGTTCAGGGTTTTGGGTTTAGAGTTTAGGGGTTTAGGGTCTAGGGGTTTAGGGTTCAGGGTTTTGGGTTTAGAGTTTAGGGGTTTAGGGTCTAGGGGTTTAGGGTTCAGGGTTTGGGGTTTAGAGTTTAGGGGTTTAGGGTCTAGGGGTTTAGGGTTCAGGGTTTGGGGTTTAGAGTTTAGGGGTTTAGGGTCTCGGGGTTTAGGGTTCAGGGTTTTGGGTTTAGAGTTTAGGGGTTAAGGGTCTAGGGGTTAAGGGTTCAGGGTTTTGGGTTTAGAAATTAGGGGTTTAGGGTCTAGGGGTTTAGGGTTGAGGGTTCAGGCTTTTGAGTTCAGAGTTTAGGGTTAACTGGAGGATGGGGTGGGGTGTCTCGGCCGGTCAATGTTTGGGATGGAGCACCCGTATGACGTATCGGCGGCCGTCCTCATTGAGTGATTTGAGGCAGAGCGGGCAGGTCTGCCATTTGCTTTAACCCCTATACATATATATATATATATATATACATACACATATATATATATATATATATATATCAATAACAGTTTCAGATGTCTGAAACTCCAGAGTTACTTCTCTGAGTATGCATCCTGTTGCGCGTGTCCTTTCATCCAGGCTTCGGGGTACAATGCACAAGAGTGGTTTCAGATGTATAGCTTTAGCCGATGTTAGTCATATCTGAAGCCATCGGTAAGGGTAATTAGGCCATGTGGGTTGTTTTTGCTGCCTCAGGTCTTCGGGCTTCTTCAGGTCTCTTGAGGTTGGCGTTTGCTAGGTTCACCCCTTTGCGGCATACGTTTGCTTGGAGCATGCTCCCTGCAGCGAGGGCAGCGATTGGTTTCTGAACCTTGATGATATGGTGGGGGCAGAACGGTGTGTAGTTGCACACGACTATGCTATGCTACTTTTTTCTATACTTTATGACTTCACACAAAAACCCAAGTCTACTTAACCCTGCCTAGATTAGGAAGTTCCACCTACAAGTAACGTAGTAAGCCCGACGACAGAGATCTTCTCGCCATAGCCTCTAAGAGCCACATGTGCCTTGTGGCAGGCATGGAGGCATCAGCAACTAACAGTTACAGCTTCATGATCCCTGGCTGCTTCAGATTCAGGATTCAAGGTTTATGGTTCAGGATTCAGGGTTGAGGTTAGCGTTCTCTGGTAAGGCCTTGTACACACGTGTGATGGGTGGCCGAAGATGTCTTTGGAGTGTGAGCTTATTGCATCGACATCGTTACTGTACAGAGTTTGCAACGATATCATCATCATTGCCACATCGATACTACCGTCAGTTCAGTTCTACATGTTTGACTTCTGAAATCCTCGACATCATCGTACGCATCTTCTTTTGTTCATGACCTTCATCTGTGTCCTCATCCGCAGCAGGGTCATCCTCGTCACACAGCATCAACACTCATTATCAGCATGCTCTTCGAATCGACGACAGCATTATCATGATAATACGTACCCAGGTGTCATGACCATCCTGGTGTTGCTGGTCGTCGCCTGCTTTCGTCCACGAGCACCACCGGCACCGCCAGCATGAACAACTCTTTCCATAATCGTGAGCATTGTACAATTACAGCCCTTGTCACGACATTCACAATCATCCCAACCACCGCCGCCGCCATGACCACTACTACCGCCACCACTACCATCACCGTCACATCGCCTGCATCACCGTCCACCGGCCATTGCCGCTTTTTAGATGTTAAGGCTATCTTTCCTTCAACAATGTCCTTCGGCTTTACCTCGCCAGAGCTGTTAACCCCACCCCAAACTGACGCATCTAATCGCAACTGAGAAGATACGCATCCCTTTAAAGCTTGCGAGTCATAGAGGGTTTAGGGTTTATTAGGGCCTAGGATTTGGCCTGAACCCCAAAACCCCAAGCCCCTAAACCCCTAGACCCTAAACCCCTAAACCCTAAACCCCTAAATCCCTAAACCCCTAAATCCCTAAACCCCTAAAACCCTAAATCCCTAAACCCTAAACGCTGAACCTTGCCCTCCCTGAGGCAGCAATCTCGAGATGCCAGGATCTCAGCCGCATCAGCCGGGCGATCAGCCTGCCGAAGAGGTTGTTGAAGAAGGGCTTAAGGTTTAAGGGTTTAGGGTATACAGGTTTTAAGGGTTTAGGGGGTTGAAGGGTTTAGGGGTTCAGGGTTTTAGGGTTTTAGGGTTTAGGTTTTGAGGGTTTAGGGTTTAGGGTTGAAAAAAAGGGGCCTAAACAATTGCCATGTATACTATTCCTTAGGGCTGCGATTCTCATACATGTGTTGTGACATATCCCCAAAGCGTTTTGAAACAGCGGGTTTGTCACTTTGTGGCTTCGGGTTTAAAGGTTGAGGGTGTACAGTAGAAGCCAGAAAGTTGGAATATGGTTTCATGGTAGGATACCCTATAATTTACCATAGAAGGGTTAGGATAATCATATTCCAACTTTCTGGCTTCTACCTTATGAGGACTAAGGTTCAGAGTGTGGGGGCTTCGGTGTTAGCGTCGAAGCTTGTAGTCGCCATCTGCGACACATTCCTTTGGCTTTCGCCCACAGGTTCCTGAGTGATGATGTCAAAGGGGAAAAGGAGGGGCCCTTAATGGGGACCCCTACCCTATAACGGGGCTATATAATGGGTATATAAGAGCTATATTAAGGGTATATACCTACGGGTCCTTATTAAGGGTCCCTCCTTTCACCCTTGGATGATGGTTCGGAGAGTTCGGTTCATTCGTAAGAAAGAGACGGGGTCGATGATGAGAATACCTTTGTTGGCAAGGACGACAGAGACGACACGCGAGACCCCGGCCGCTATGAGAAGCGACGTGTGGCCATTCTCGTGCCTAGCAATTCTGACACGGGCTTGCACTGCTGTCCGGTTTGGTGGGGCAAGGTTTACGTGCTATGTGCTCTTTGCGAAACCGGGCAGGCACTTGGTGCTAGTTGACCATGACGCCGCTCCCACAAACCTGGGACGACTCTACCGAGCTCAGAAATGGGACACAAAAGGCGGACGCCAACCAACAACCCGACCGACCCTACGTTACGCTGCAGCCGGACAAGCAGCACTGCGCCCGCAGACCCGGCCCAGCCTTCTTTGCTCTCTTGCACCGGGGGCCATGGGTCGACGAAGTTTCCGGGCCTTATTGTGGGAGTTCAAGGGGTTGCTGTTCGGGCTGCAGCACTCTCCAAAGGTGGGCTTATTCGCTTCGGGGGGTTTAGGAGTTTAGGAGTTGGGGGTTTAGTGTTCAGTATGTACGCTTGGCGATCAGGTGTAAGTTGCAAATATATAGAGGTCTGAATGATTAGCGGTAGCCCACTAGCAAACTCTACTGCATATATTATGCACCAAGCCATGAGCTGTTCTGTTAAGTTGTCAGACCCCTGTTTCTAGGAATTCGGTGCAAGCTGTAGGGTTGGCTTGCCTAGGTTCTTGTTAAGGAAGTTGATTCAAGTTGCGATAGTAAAGAAACCATATTATTCACTGTAGATGCCCAAGAAGGTAGCTTAAATTAAGTTCCTTAAAAAGAATCCAGTTGCAGATGCATAAGTCTCATAAGTATTTTTCAACATGGACCCTGGCTAAGAGATCCGAAGTATCCGGCCCTCTCTGCATCAAAAGACGGCATTCAATCATTAGAGTTGAGTGTAGATTTACTTGTATGAGTGCAGTCATGTAGGATCTATAAGACGGTAAGTTGATATTATTCCCATTCAGGCCTCGTCCCCAAACTCCCGAACCCCTAAGCCAATACAACCTACACCCTAAACCCTATACACTCTACACCCCGAACCCTACACCCTAAACCTTACACGCCAAACCCTACACCCTAAACCCTATACACCCTAAACCCCGAACCCTAAACCCCAAACTCTTCGCTTCTTTCAGGAGAGGCGCACTGTAATGGACGAACTCGCGCAGCTGATGAACACGCCGGGCGCCCATGAGGGCTTCAGAAGGGCAGTTAGATCTTAGAATTTAAGTCAGGACTGGGTATATGTATTCATATATGTATATGGATAGGTATATGAGTGATTCGCACGGCGTCATGTTAATTACTCATGAGGATCATAACAGGAAGCTTCACCCAAAGCCCCCGAACCCCAATACCTAAGCCACGAGAGTTAGAGGAACGAGTTTCTTTGAGATCTTTGGTTAGGGCTCACTTGGGCTTCTGGGTTTAGGGTTTGGGGATTGATGTTGCCGGATTCAAACTGATGCATTGGCGTTTACAAGAGTTCAGGGTTTGGGGTTTCCGGCTTAGGATTAGGGTTTCGGGTTCAGGGGCGGTGGTTTAGGGCTTTTGTATCAACTGATGTTGTGTGGTCGTTGTGCTTCAGGTTTAAGACCCTAAACCCTAAACCCTAAACCCTAAACCCTAAACCCTAAACCCTAAACCCTAAACCCTAAACCCTAAACCCTAAACCCTAAACCCTAAACCCTAAACCCTAAACCCTAAACCCTAAACCCTAAACCCTACCTTCAGGCCTCGGGTTCTTTGCGCAGCAACGGTAAGGGAAGGTACGATTACAGCAAACTCTTGTTGCGGATGTGGTGATGAGAACCTGGCGACCATGGACCATAATGGTTATCGGCTAGAATCGGGGCGCATAGGAAATAGATGCAACCCCAAAAGAAGAAGACATGACTCTGAATCTGGCCCAAAACCCTCTATAAGCCCTAAGACGACAGCTCCTCGACCCAAGTTTTGAGCCAAAAGGATGATTCCGACCTGTGGGCAGATCCGAAATTTCGCGATCACCAAATGGTCCCTGCAACGACGACACAGGTCGCCGCACCCGGAGACTCAGGCAAGGCCTCTGAGCATGGCGAAAAGCTCGCTGAGTCTGAGGATGCAGACCAGGGACAGGGTGGTAATCGCAAGGCCGCTCCCCGGCCGGTCTCGCCAGAGTTGCAGGGCATCCTCGAAGCAGCTTCGGCCAAGGTGTCTGGTACGGAGTCCGAATCTCGACGTGAAGCTCGGTGCAGCTGTGATCTTCCGGGTTAGAAATTCCAACTCTAAGGCGCTAAACCCCTAAACCCGAAACCGGACACCAAAATCCCAAGCCCTCAGACCCATGACTGTCGATGTTCTGAACGGATCTTCTGGGTCAAGGATCCAGCTCCATCGACAGCTTCGAGATGTTCTCAAACCCTAAATCCTAAAAAAACCTGAAACCCCTAATGTAGAAACCTGATTAAGAAACCTTGGGCCTATAACACCAAAATAGTAGGAGTCGGAAAAGCAGCCGTAATAAAGGCCCAAGGTTTCTTACCCAGGTTCCTACATTAAAACCCTAAGCCCCTAAACCCTAAATCAAATGGGCCGCAAGGACTCCAGAGGTTGCAGAGAAACTTCGAAGTTCCCTAGTTAGCAAAGTCTTCCCCAAGCACAGACCGTAGGATGCGTTGTGTGCAGGGGTTCAGCATCCTTGGTCTTTCGGAGTAACTTTCAGTCCGAAAGCGCAAGACCTAAAGCTCTTTGCCTTGCAAAGTTCTGGGCTCTTGTGCAGGAGCATAGTTTTAGTTACCATGATTCGGGGTCCATAGCACATAATCGGGTGTCCTTCTTATTGCAGCTTTGAACTATTGAACAGGGGGTCCAATCTGATTGTAGCTTGGAGCTGCTGCCTTAAAAGAACTCAGAGTTTGGTGTCTTCGATCACCGTCCGCCAAGGCAGCAGAGAACACTTATCGAGCAGCTCAAAGAAGGCCTGACTGCCTGCAATGCCCTCGCGCATTTCGTTTCGTTTGTAAAGAGGGTTTTGGGGGGTTTCCGAAATAGGGGACCCTAATATAGTACCCTAAATAGTAGGATCCGTATTATAAGGACCCCAAAATAAGGTACCCCTAGTTTTCGGAAACTCCCTTTTTGTCAGAAGCAAGAAGAGAACTGTCACAGCGGCCCATCGCAATGATACGGTTGATGATATAAATCCTGCATTACTTTCAGGACCCTGAACTATGGGAATTATGGTATATTCCTTACTATGGGTAATGCAGGATTTATATCATCAACCGTACCAGGGTAGCACTGACATGCACTATGCTGATTATCCAGGGCAATAGGGCAAGACAGATGCCTGCGAGGAACAAGAAGGAAGACGGTTTGTAATTCACTTGGGGAGTTTTCTGAACTCGCTGTATTTTGTCTCTGTGCCCATGAAATTGAAATTCAAGGCGACCAAGTACCAATTGACATATGTGCCACATATGTCGGAACGTTTTGCGTGGGGTGCACGCACGTTCACATTCAATGCAACGCAGTCAAGCTGACTTAGTTTCAAATTGATAAATGTGAGACATATTGTGTGGATATGAGGCGGGTGTCAATGTCGTGAGAGAGCTGGCGCATGCTCGCACACCAGTGATACTACGCGAATGGAAAATAATGTGAAAACCGCCCAAACAAACGCTTTCCTGTTCGCACGGTCGGAAGGTTAGTCTCAGTTGGCTCGCTACCAAATGTGCACCTTCAAGCATAAACTTAGCAAACAATTCATTGAATGATCCCCACCCCCTCCCCCCTCTGCAACAAAAAACCAAATTTTCGCTTGCAACATCTGCGCACAGCCCTCTGGTCAGCAAGCCCATGGACCATGGAATCCGCAGCCAGCCTCGAATTCACTCGGAAAGCGGCTGAACCCCAAACCGCGGTGTTCGAATGCATAGACCTACAGTTGATGATATAGATCTTGCATTACCTTAACCACCCTGAGACTATGGGAATCATGATATATTCCTTATTATAGGTACTGCGGGATCTGTATCATCAACAGTAGCATGAGCCGTAAGCTCTGAACCCTGCTCTTCAAAACACTAAACCCTAAATCCTCACTCGAGCCCGCTAAGCCCTAAACCCACTATAACAAAAACCTTGCACCGCCTACATGAGCCTTACTAGATTCTTGTGAAGGAACAGATTTAGAAGTCACAAAAACAGGAAGCGCAGTTATTCACTGTAGATAGCTCCCGGTTCGGTAAGGTAAGTTCCTCAGCCCAATACACCCTAATCCCACTAGAACCCAACCCTGCACCCGAAACGCCTACAACCCTCAGACCCTGCTGTAAGCCTTGAGGACTCCCTTCTCAGGATGGGTGTAGGTCCTCTGGTCAAGGCCATTGTTTAATATAGGGGCCCTAATGACTAGAATAGATTTTGGGGTATATTATTATATATTATACTACAAATATGCAAAGAACCCCCAAGACCCTGTTCAAATTGCTAAGGCCCCTACATTGGACATTAAGTCCTTGTAATAGCCCTTAGAGTATCCAGTCTAGGAGTCCTTGGAACGAGCCCTACTCTAATAATAAAGGCCCCCCTACATCTAGGATGCCCAGTAGTACCCTTATTCCTTCTTCGTAGCCCTAGGTTCCTTAAAAAGTTACCCAATACCAAAAAGGGAGCCCTTCTTATTCCTAGGTTACTGGGCATCCTAGACATGAACTGGAGCCTTGAGCCTTAAGCCTGCTCCAAACCAGTTCACCGGTCTGGATCGCTCGGCAATGGCCAGCTGCCTCAGTGACGAGGGTCCAGGGTTTAGGGTTTCAGGGTTCAGGGTTTGGGGGTTGAGGGCTCAGGATTGATTTAGGGTTTGGCAGTTAGGGTTGGTTTAAAGGCTGCTGCAAGGGCTACTTCTAGGCTTAGTGTAAGGGTTCGATTGTGGTCAAGAGCTTAGTAGTTGGAGCTGGAAGGTTTCTTTAAGGTTCTAGCAGGTTTCTACCGGGGCCAAGGGCAGGCGGTTCCAGGTTTTCGGATGTTTTGGTGGATTTGCGTCTTTTCAGGTGTATGGCTGAGGCTTGGGGTTCAGTGGTTGGCTCGGGGGGAGTGGTGCGTTCTGCAATCGAGGATGTTTGTCTCTGATCCCACTGTGTAGAGGATTCAGGATTCGGGACCCCGGCCTTAACAAATGCTGGGCCGAAGGAAAGTTGTGGTGAGGCTTGAACCCTAAACCCCTAAACCCCTAAACCATAATCCCTAAACCCCTAAACCCTAAACCCCTAAACCCTAAACCCCTAAAAAACCCCTAAACCCCCTAAAAACCCTAAACCCTAAAACTAAACCCCAAACCCTAAACCCCTAAACCCTAAACCCCTAAACCCTAAACCCCTAAACCCTAAACCCCTAAACCCTAAACCCCTAAACCCTAAAACCCCGAAACCCTAAACCCCTAAACCCCTAAACCCCTGAACCCTAAACCGCTTGAAGACTGAAGGTGTAGGGCTGAGGTTAGGGATGCTGGTGTGCTTCGCCGCCTACTGCCGAGTTTGGAGGTGTTGAGATCGGGGGCCTCAAAAGGTAGGATGAAGGTAGGTGGGATATTCCCAAATAAGAGTCCTTATATAAGGGATCCTTAATCCCACCTACCTTCATCCCTTGTGAGGCCTCCGATGAGATTGAAGGTTCAGGGACAGGAGACTATTGCGGCATTTCCCAGGTCGGCTTCAAAGCTTTCCCAAGTTCTGCTGCATCCTGATCGGTGTAGGGTTTAGCTTAGCTTTGGTTAGTAGGGAACGGAAGAATTGTAGTAATGGTAGTTCTAATTGTACCTCATTCCTCCCTTCGCTACTAAGCAAAGGCAAGTTAGGGAACCCCAACACCACAACCGCTGCGTGTTCGGAAAACTAGTACCACTGATAGTAGTAAATGATAACAGTAACAGCAGTAATATTTAATAACAACAACAATAACATCAATTGTGAAATCAACAACAGTAACAATACTCACTATAAGTGATAATGACCACAATAGTAATAATAATAATAATAACAATTCGCCTGTGAAAGAAACCCCTACTCTATGGTGGAAGTCTGGCTAGAGCAGTGCTGTCGACGTGGAAAAGGAGGCTCGAGACACTGAGGATCCTGAGGGTCTCGGAGTGCACACCGACATGGTGGAAAGTTCTTTGGAGTTCTACGCTGCCAGATGGGAGCAATGCCGTCTCTACGATGAACTCAATCGTCCCTGTCCAGGCATCTCTCAAGCGGAGGGACGTCTGCATGTAGTATCAATAGCAACAACAATAACGGCAGTAATCATCGTCATAGCAAGAACAGTGAAACTTAGTAACAGATACAACAACAGGAATAACAGTAAGCAATCGCAGTGACAACACCAATAATGGAAGGCTGGGGTTGATCATGAGGGTGGAGTGCCTAAGCCCCAAACACAGGCATCCTAAACCCGAAGAACCCCCAAGCTCCTTCAGAACTGGGAAGCCGTCTTTAGGTGAGTCTTACGAGACTTGCTCTCAGCCCTCCACATCTTGCTTGGGAGCCCAGCCTTCCGTGAGCACGGGGTCTGGGAGTTTCAGAACTGGGGGCACCCTAATGAAGGGGCCTTAACAATTAGCATAGGGTTGTGGGGTATGTTATACTATAGCTATAAGAAGGAGCTCCCACAAAATACGGTTGATGATATAAATCCTGCATTACCTTAAGGACCCTAAACTATGGGAATCATGGCATATTTCCTATTATGGGTAATGCAGGATTTATATCATCAACCGTAGTATACGACATCAGTAAGGACCCTATATTAGTCATACAAAACCCTGAACCTTAGGACAATGTCGTTTGTCAGCACGGAACTTTGGGTTGAGGGTTTTACTGCATATTAGTTGTACAGCTTGAGATTTGCACACCGTCCGGCCTATAGGTCTCTAGGATTTCAGGTTTCGGGGATGTGGCTTTGCGACTTGAGACGAGCTTCGGTACGGTGTCTCTGCGTTGCGGGCTGTCAGATTTGGGTATCATGCAGCCTCCTCTGCCCCATAGCTGGCTCAGAAGAAGCCTGGGGGCTTAAATAACCAATACTGTTTTGGGGGTTCCCTGTTATAACTACAGGCTAAAATCCTATTCTAATTAGCAAGGCCCTACATTATAGAGGCCTTATGGTAATTTCCCTCACCGTAACCCTTACATGGAGCCCTTTCAAGGCACCCCTACTCTAATTCTTAAGGCCCCTTATTAAACCCTCCACTCCTTAATTCGCAAGGCCCCTACATTAAATCCTTATACATAATAGCCCCTATATAGTAGCCCTTATATAGACCCCTCCAAAGGAACCCTGTTCACCCTATTCTAAATCGGAAGGCCCCCCAAAAGAATCTGTGTGTTGTGGGCGCTCCGGCATCTCTTCCAGTTTCCTGTGGAGACTTTGTGTTTGGAGCTTTGATCCCACAACGTAGGCCCCCTCAAAACAACGACATTAATCTACAAATTGTAGTAATATAGTAATAATAGTAGTAAAAAGCCTAGGAACTAACAGTAATACTATAGTAGTAAAACCAATAGCAGCAATAATTGCAATAATAGTAACAATCCTAAAAACATGTAAAAAGTAATAATAGTAATAATGAGGTTGCGCTTCTGAGGCTCTGGGCACGCAAAAAAAACTCTGAAGCGCATAAAGACACCGGAAAGCTTCGAAATGAACTATTATTGCTTGTGAAATCCTGTGACTCATAACCTAACTAAACACCCTCAAAAACGACAATTCCTTGCACAACGCTTATACGACCCCCAACTGAAGGCGGGCCGGACACGCCAGTCCCGGGCGAATGCATTCCAGGGACCGACAGAGTGGGTTAAAGTGGTTTGTCAGGTTTAGGGTTTCCGGTTTTGGGGATTATTCAGAGGTGTTTTAGAAGTTTCTTTCGGTGTGTGCCCGGTTTGGGGTTTGCTCTTGGAGTTCAGGCTTCTGGTTCGGAGGTCAGGGCTGCGGGATTCAGGCTTTGGGTTGGAGGTAGGTAGGTAGGGTGTCCGTGTATGTTTCAGCGTGTGAACAGAACCCCAGAAAGGAGGCGTTGGTTGATTCGGCCCTGCGCCAGACGCATGTTTCGAGCTGTCAAAAACTGGCCACGTCGTCAAATGTGTTGAGAAGACTTGTGCCCTCGGGTGAAGGACACGACGGAGAACATGATGGACAGATGCAAAAGCATGTGGGGAAACTTCGCACGAGCCCCTCATGTCACACGTGCATCAGTAGAGGCGAGCCAACTATGACAGACAGCTTTGGAGTCCGAGGGAGTTGTTCTCCATACAGCTTTCGTTATGCGACTATCGGTCTCTGTATCGAAATTTGTAAGTCCTTATTAGTTATCTGAAGTCGATGTTCACAGTCTTGACATTTCCTTGCGGATGTAGGTACACATATACACACATACATAGGTGTGTACATATATACATGTAGATGTACATGTATAATCTAGTTTGCAACATAATAAAATGACAGCTATAGTACTTTAACTATTGAATAAAAACAGATGTTTACAGCCATATGCACCAGTACATGTATGTATACCTTTGTGTGTATATATACATACATAAATTTATATGTGTGTCTGTGTGTTTGTGAGTGTATTACAACATACATACATACACGTATACACATGCACAATGTTTAGTATGCAACATATCACACTCACAACGGTAGTACTGTCAGTCAGTATACTCGATTACAACTCAATAGAACATAATATGATATTGCAATAATCTGATACAACATAATGTAACAGAATAGAATACGTGGATATCGGTACATAATGTCATGTTTTACACACGGAAAGACCGGTTTGAAGATCGCTACCCCGGTTGCAATCTTGGAGGCGGCATGGATCCGAGTGGGTTCTGTAAGGGTTTCTATAAGGGTTCCTGTTAGGGGTCCCATACGCCTTCCGATAAGGCTTCTAGTACGGTTTAGGGTTTAGGGTGTAGTTAGTAGGTTCAATGGCATCATGCTTCTAGGTCTCTCAGGTGTTCAGGGATCATCACATGAGAGAGAAGGCGGTGTCGTAACCAGCATGCCTTTTGCAGGAGTAACGCGGCGGAGACGGTCATGTGAAACAGACTGGAAAAGCTGTGAACGCACGGCCCTCAGGCATTTTGGCGTTCAGCGTTTGGGTGCCGGGATTGAGGATTCACGGTATGGGGTTTTCGGGCTTGTCGTTTCGGAGTTTTTGGGATGGCAGGACTGAGCTGATGCTGGATTTTTCTCGATTGGTGTGATACTGGATGTTGCTTTTGCCAGGTGGCTGTCACGCCACCCGGACACCCATTTTGGGCCTCTTTTCGTTGTTGCTGTTGCGAGGTTTTGGTCTGCAGCGTGCGTTTCCTTCGGGTTTTTGAACATGTGTTCTCTGCTTTTGTGTTTCGTTCTTGCTTCCTTGCTGATTTTGCCTGCGTTGCGATCTTGCTCTTTTCGGGTCCAAAACTCGAGGTTTTGCTGTGTTGTAGCATGTTTTATGCTGGAAGGGCCGTTTTGACACCATTTTTACTGGTTATTGGCAGTTTTTGTGTTGCTGCTTCTGTCCTTTCGCAAAGCATCCATGAGCCACCCATGATAACGTCCAGATCAAACTCCATCCGCTCCCGCAGAGCATCCGTGCCAACCATCACAGAGCGTCCATGAGCCAACCATGATAACGTCCAGAGTAGACCTTATCCACTTCCGCAGAGTATCCATTGGCCAACCATGATAACGTCCAGTCCTCCAGACTCCATCTATTCCCACAGAGCACCCATGAGCCAACCGTGATAGCGTGCGCTTTGGAGCTAGTGTGCAGCCGAACTGGGGTTCGAGTGCAGTGTAAAAATAAGGTGTGCGCTTCTACGCTCTTCCTTGATTTTGAGACACGGTTATGTTTTTTTGCTAACTTCGCTAACCGCCGATAATGGGAGTTTCCGAAAATAGGGGACCCCAAAAAAGTATCCTAAAGTAAGCTACCCCAAATTTTCGGACACCCTGAAATAGCCTATCGGAGCCGAAATTGCCGTAAACGAAACTACTTTTGGGTGTTGCGGAATGTGCCAATATGCAGGGCGGCAGGTCAGCCGGTTTTGGGTTTGGGGTTTAGGGTTTTTTGGGCCCCGTTCCCACACTCCGCCCAGACACCTCGAAGCTTAAGAGTATGATCATGATATAAAAGTCCTACACTCATTTCCGATGGCTCCCAGGATTCTGCAGCTCAACCCATGGAAGCGCAAGTATTTGCAAGGACATTCAAAATACTTCAGGGCACTGTCTTTCTTGCACAAAGAAGTCTGCGCGGCCTGGCACTAATCGAGCGCAAAAGCCTGTCGCTCAAACTGGGGTTGGATCGAGTTTTATGTCTTGGTAAGTCCGCGCAGGATAGAGCTGAGTTTTGGAGTACACTAAACAATTAATGGGGCTTTATAGGGCTTCTTGGAAGGTTTGATGGGTTGTTATACGGCTGGCGGCCAGGGCCGTTGCAAACAGTTGCAAGGATTCCACAGGACATCTAGGTATTTTGCCAGCTGTGCTCCTGCTTTGCAGATCCATAGCTCTTCTATTGCACCATGGCCACACCCAAAGCGCCTATACTTCTTCCTGTCCCAGCCCTATCGTGATAGCCACGTAGCAGTGTCAGACCCCCATCAGACCCACAAAGCTATAGCCAAACCCTCAAAAGTAGGTAAAATAATGGCCCAACACATATAAAAGGCTAGAAGTTCTGCATCCTTTTGGGGCCCAGGTCCAGGTTTCCCCCAATCAATCCCTTTCTCTCAGAGATAGGCCCCTGCAGCCTTTCTCCTAGAGCCTTGGTAGTCCTGGCATTTGCTCTACGAGCTCTCCTAGAACAAAGGGGTTCAGTATGTTCGAAGACTCTTTTAGTTGAGCATTCAGCATTTTTTAGAAAGACAGTGGCAAGATCATGAATGCGATGATTTCGTAGACTCTCCCGATACTAAAGTGCCATGGTAACAAGCCACCTGATATACCGCATGCTCCGGGCCGGCCCGAGGCATATCAGCGCGGTATGCATCGACTTCTCTTCACAAAGCCACCAGCCTGTGAACAATGTGGGGATTTCCTTTTTCCTAAGCCCTTAGTATGTTCTTATTGTGTAAGTGTTGCTCCTCTAACCTGAGGGGTACTTAGAAATGCTGTCGGTTATTATAATCCCTAAGAAACAGCTAAAATTGTAATTTTTGGTAGGGTTCTAAGTTCAGTATAGTAACTATAAACCCTAGTGCTCCTGCTCAGATTCGGAAAACGATCGGCTAGGACAACTTGGACCTTTCGCGGTGCCTCCAGACTTACCCAGCTCCTGCAAAAGTATCCTGCTTTAAGGGTTCCTATTCGGACTTTCGAGAAGGGGCATCTAGGTCTAGGTTCCACAACATTACCCCGCTAAGCCCTTCTTGGGGGTTAAACTGAACAGTCGGACAAAGGACAAGAGGGTGCTCTCATTGCTACCATCAAGGGCTTGTGTTGCCTACTGTCCTTTGCAGATGCTGCTGGCTTCGTCCCTCAGGCTAAACCATCCCTGAGCCCACGGAACCCACGTACTTATCCCTACGGTTTGCCCAGAGCTTAGCACCCCCTGAAGAAAAGCTTCACTGCTTTAAATGCCAAGACCCATCACTGACCCTGACCCTTAGCTGCGGAGTAATTAATCAGCTTTCAACTTGCTGGGGTACTTTCATGCCTATCTGCGTCCAAACGTTTGCCACTGGTTTTCCTAGGAAGTTGGACAGTTACGGAGCCTTTGTGAATCTTCGCAGGCTGCTGGTGTAGCTGGTCTAGCAGCGAAAAGACGAGAGCTTCTTTTGAACTGTTGCTTTTGGCAAGCGTGGTTCTTACTCGGATCTTAGACAATAATACTTTCCGCCCGAGAATAACCTGGACCATTCCACCTCTGTTCATCCAAGTATCTGGTTTTTGGCGTACTTCGGACTGTGCCCAAAGCTATATGTATGGTTTTGCGCTGTGCGTTCTGCACCCCCCTAACCCCCCGGCCCGCCTGGGCGCAAAAATGTATAAGTTTAGGTTTAGGCTTTTGGTTTTGGGGTTTGGGTGTTTAGAGGTTTAGGTACAATCCAGAAAGATCGCATACTGCGGAACCATTAAGAAGTGGCTGGCTTCGGGGATCTACTACAGCAGGTGTGGTCCAAACGTTGGGTTCTGAGCTTACAGGGCTACGAAGGAGCTCTCGCGTGCGCGACACCTTGAAAATGATCCAATTCAGGTGCATGTGTAGTCCTAGTCCAATCCAGATTGACCCGAGAAGCACATCTCAGGAGCCACTACGAAAGCTAAACCCCAAATGCATGAAGTCTAGGATGGGTTCGAGCCAGGTCAAGCCGCAGGGAGTTGTTTGGAGTTTTAGTAGGGTGTACTGTGGCGCACCATCACAACATCAGGCAGCCCAAGAGAATATTACCAGAGAAAAATAGTGTTATGGCAGAATGCTAGCTGGTTTTGGGTCACTCAGCCAGAGTGGACGGATCTTCACTTTGGGGATGTAACGATTCGACTAGAGTTTGGGGCGTATTGTAGTCCTCTGCAGTGTAACTCACCAGTCTGTATACCATTGCAGTGTGAAGAACAAGCATGTTAATGGCAATGATCATCAAATTTCTATTGTGATCCTGAACCACTCTAATCATTGTACGTAATCATGGTAAAACCCTGATCTAAAGGATTCGAAAGCTATAGCTTCTTCAACCTTTTCCTATTAATTTTGTCTCGCGGCAGCGCTTGCTGATGCAAGAACCTCATTGTTGTTCAAAACATACAGAAGTCTGACGAATTATCGGGGGTATTCCTTAAGGGTGAGAGTTATATGTTATTTACGTCCTAATTAAACTCTACCCGAACTGTTGAGGCCGCCTTTCTTAATGTCCTGATTGTACAGGGATAGTTTACCGCGGTAAACGGTCTAACTCTTTGGGCAGAGCCTTTTTTTGCACATCTTACGAACTGAACGATGATCGTTTGTTGGCTTCGGGTGCTTCTCAGGATCCACAGCCCTCGTAGAAGCGAACTTCCAAGCCAGCTTTTGTTGTTTATGGATGATACCCACCCCTTGACATATATATATATATATATATATATATATATATGTATGTATGTATGTATGTATTTATGTATGTATGTATGTATGTATTGTGCAAGTGCATAGACACCGTGTGCAACACTAAATGTGTGTTTTTAGAAGAGCCCTTGCGCGTATCTGAGGGCTTCGAGTCCGGCAGTACGCCCTGTCCAAAGCCTTTCATTGCACGGACCCTCGTGTGCAACGCATAGGTGCAGCTGTGGAGTGCGCCGGGCAGGCGGAGACAGAATATGGCTTCGACTTGCTCGCTCGTCTCCATGTTGTTCACAGCTAGTTTGCGGGTTTGGATGAAGGATTAGGGGAAGCCTAGTATAGGGTGTAATATAGGGCCCACACATGAAGTCTTTTGTCATGTAAGCCCCTGAAGCATGCAAACACCAGACCTATAGATCTCGCAAGAATGATCGGTGACGAAGAGGAAGCAGATGATCGCAGATGCGCAGTTGAGGTGGCTGGGGACAGTAGAGTTGCAAAGCCTCTTTGAAGTTATCATGCAGTAATCTCCACAAAGCCCAAATCCCAAACCCGAACATCCTAGCAAACCCTAAACCCTATACCCACAAACCCGAAACCCTACAAGACTAGCTGTGAGGAGTTTGACAACTTCTAGTTCTCAGGAGTAGCTTGTGGGCTAGGTCCTAAGGACCAAAGCCCCCCAAAAGTCGAAGATCTTGCAAAGTCTGCACATGGGTGCTCTGCATAGGAAGCGTGAGCCCTGAACCCCAAACCCCTAAGCCCAACTGCTCAAACCTCTCCATCTCAAAGTCATCTTCCCGCTGTGCTGCTGTTTCCTACAGCTCATCCTGCTATGCAATCCTTTGCTACTTCGCGCTGCGGCTTTTGCTTAGAGTCCGGGACCTAGGGGTCATGCAGACTGGGCGTTCAGGCCAGGCCAGTTTGGTTTGCTCTTTTGCTGGTGCCTTGCTTGCCACTGTCCATCATGAGTCGTTTGTACTGGCAGATGGAGTAGCTGGTGTTTGCG